CCCCCCCCGCCCCCCGCCCCGGGCTGTTAGTACTCAGGGCCCCTTGTCCTCCCTCCCCTCAGAAAGTTGGGCTGGTGTAGCGTGTGAACACAGGGGCAGGACTGCACCCCAGGAATTGATTCACACTTTCTGGCTCAGCTTACTCATGCCATGGCCCTGAGAAGATGAGCTACCGTGGCCGTCCCTCTGTGACGTTCAAGTGCATTCCACATCATCTGCTCCTGAACCTGGCAGACACTGGCGCACACATGCCTTCAGAGGACACTGATAAAGAAAGCAGTCTTTCTCTGGCCTGTACGAAATTTAAATATAAAGCTGAGCTAGAACAGAGGCTGCGATGCTGTCCCACCCCTGCAGCCGCATCCTTCCCTGTCAGGTGCCTAAGGAAAACTGGTTCAGCCCTTGCCTTCTCCTCTAGGCATCCCCTCCTGACACCCCTGGGCTCCTGTGCTCTTGGACTGCAGATGCCCACTGCCTACTACCCTCCCTCTCACGTCTGCCTTCTCTAAGGGCCCAGGAAACCGTGGCCGGTTCCTCTTTAATAGCACGTAGCCCAGGGCCTGAGGAAGTTGTGATCGCTCTTGCTCTCTTCAAGACTCAGGTAGTTTACACGTAAAATCTGCCTACCTCACAGGTTAGCTGACTGAATCAGGTGAGGCCTAATGAGTGGGGGGCTTTCTACATGTTAGCTCCTCTGATCAGGATGCACTATGCCAGAGTCCCTGGGATTGACCCCACGATGGGTTAGAATAAAGCTTCTCTCCTGTCCAAAGTTATTGATTATGAGGCAGAAAATGCAATTAACCTTGAATAAGTTTAGGTCACTCGCCCACACCTGCTTACTGCTTGCTGCCTCTGTCTCTTCCTTGAAGAATAGAGAACCAGAGCCTGGAGCTCCAGGGGAGGAGCAAGAGTATGAATTCTCCCAACCTCAGAGTTGCAGAATGATTCTAAGGAGTTCATCCATCATTCTGCACACCATACAGAGAGAGTAAATGGGTTGCCTGTATATGCACTATTATTTTCAAATACTACAAGGTACTATTTTCAAATACGTACAATTGTGGTTCACAAAATATAAATTGATTTTTTAAATGGATGCTTAGTAAGTTATTTTGACCCAGTAATATCTTTGGCAAGAGAATAACCTCAGAGGCTTAGCTGGATTTGGGTGCTCTGCCACAGCTCACTTGTCCTGAAGATAAACATCCTCAGGCTTGGAGCCCTGACTTTGTGATAAACATTAATCACCTGTCAATGCAAGTGCTTGTTTCCCCAGTGTAATCAATGGCACAACATTCAGCATACAACACACGGTTCAGCTTGTGGTGTCAGAGCAACTGTATGCAAAGGGAAGAGAAGACAATACTCACTGGATTTTGCCATCCCACCAAAAGAGAAGACTCGGCTACCACAGAATATTCCAGAAAGCCCCAGATGTAGTACAGGGAGACCACAGAAAGAGGATCCTAGGACACAGCTGGCTGGCATCTGAAAGTACAAGGCCAGGAAGTTTAAAATTCCTATACTTACCCCTGCCAATGGCTTCTCGTAGGGAGGCCACCATGGCAGTTCAGCTGACTGTGACTCCCTGCCCCAAGGCTGCCTGAGGCCACTTCGCCAGCTCCTGGCGTGAGTGCTCCAAGAGAGGGGCGGTTGCAACCCTCTGTGAAAGGTGCCCCGGCAGTGCGCTCTGAGGTGATGCTGCCTTGTGTTTCTGCCAGGAATTTAAACTTGATGGAGGGGCGCCTGGGTGGCTCAGATGGTTAAGCATCTGCCTTTGGTTCAGGTCATGATCCTGGGGTCCTGGGATTGAGTCCCGCATCGGGCTCCCTGCTCAGTGGGGAGCCTGCTTCTCCCTCTCCCTCTGCCTCTCTCCCTGCTCATGCTCTCTCGCTCTCTTTCTCTCTCTCTCTGTCAAATGAATAAAGTAAAAAAAAAAATCTTTAAAAAAAATAAACTTGATGGACTTCTGCCATCAGGAGGGACTCTGTTCCTGCCTCTCTCCCCATTCCCCTCACCTCCCACCCTCCAGCCTCAGAGAAACAGTAAAGGAAGGTGCTTCTCTTCATTAGTCTTCATAAGAGCCTTGTAGCTCAAAACCATGCATCTACCATCGGTAAATGAAACCTGAGGGAGCTATGACTTCATGGGGGGAGCAGGAGTTTCACCAGATGCTAAAAAGTCACAAGAAAAAAGATCCTGTTCTATTGATATAAAGGAAGTATAATGGGATTTTTTTTTTTTAACTATCTGATGAGAAAAGCCATGTTTGCTTTTTCTTCCTGTGAAATGGGAGAACAATGAGTTTGGATCTACTGAATATAAAGTTCTCGCCAACTAAGGTCCGTACGAGTGTATCCGAGTTGCCCGCTCCTGCAAATGAGTTATTTTTATGGCAGACATGATTCTTATTAAAAGTTCTTGTGATTTCTGTCACATAAGGCACATTTTCCCCATGGCTACCCCAGGCTCCTGCTAATATAGTTGTTGTAGGGACGGAAGGGAACTACATCAGCCATTAAAACGCACCCTAACTGATCACCATGAAGTAGCCACCTCCATGCAAAGTAAAATTTTGAGAGAAAAATATTCACAGTATGCAACTGCTTCTCAATATTCTATTCCAGTTGCTCTGGGAGAGATAATAGTACAGCACATACTGCTTGGGATAGAGTTAAACATTTCCTCTGCTCCCAGAAGAAACTTAAAAAAGGAGTTTAAGCTCTTCACACACTCTGGGGTATCAGTGAGGAAATAGTTGAGCAGTCCCTGCTCAAAAAGACAGTTGTTCATAGAGTCTTTTGCAAAACCTGGTTTGTAACCCACTGCCCAGAAGTCCCAGTGTGATTCATAACCAGAGTAGCTCTTTCTGGTGGGAGATCAAAGGGTGTAAGAGTTGGGGCAGCTGCTTGGGATTGTGTTAAGAGGGAGTGTGGGGCCAGCAGAAGAGGAAGGGAGGTGCCCAATGGCACTGCCTTCCTTACTTGAGCTGTCTACTCACTCATCCTTCCAATCCTGCAAGGATAAGCTTCTTAAGATATTTGCTGAGAGATTGGATATCGTGCCCTAGTTCGTCTTGGAAAGTATAGGGTGAGCTGGCAGAAGGGAAGAGGTGAGGTGTAAACCTTTCGTGGAGGTCTGAAAGGTCGCCCATTCTTGGAGCAGCACCAGGCCCTTGGGCCTTCACACAGGTGAGATACTTCGGATTCTACAAGTCAGCCTTGATTTCGGATGCAAAATGAGACACAGTCCCCCCCGGAGATGATCGTCTCCGCTGAGCCGCAGGGACCAATGGGGACAGGCCTCAAGAGCACTACCTTGCGGAGCTCCAGATAGTTTGACACTTTCCCGCAAGTCATTCTCCCAGCGCATCCTGGATACCGACACAGGTCCCAGAAGGAGAAGTTAAAGGTTTAGAAATGGCCTAATTTCCTAATTTATGAAAACTTTTAGCCAACCCTCTACCTTCTGTTCATTCAGTTGCTCACTTATTCAGTGAATAATTGTTGAGGACCTAGCTGCCATCTGCCAGGCCCCATGCTAAGTTCTGGGGGAGGGCTCCCGCCTTCATGAAAATTACAGCCTAGCAAGGGAGCAGACAATAAATAAACAAGTAAAAAAACCAACAGGATAATTACAGATCGTTGTAAGTCCCGTGAAGGGAATACACAGGATAAATGAGATCATAATTGGGAGGGGCCCCTCTGCAGGGGGGACATTTGAGCTGAGACCTGGAGAGAAGCAGTGGCCATGGGAGGAGCTGGAGGAAGGGCAGTCCCGGCGGAGGGCACACAGGGACCCGGGGCTGGAAGGCCTTGGAGCATCAGGGAGAGAAGGCGTGGCGAGAGAGCAGCAACGGGAATGATGCAGGAGGAGTTCACAGGAGGCACAAGCTAGGGTGTTAGCACCTTGGAGGCCATGGTCAGAGTTTAGGTTTCATTCTGAGAGCAACAGGGAGCCGCTGACAGTGTTAAGCAAGAGTGGTAACCTAATTAAAGACCACCGTATGCTCACTGCCACATTGTCTGTAATAGCGGATAAGAAACGAATTCCACGAATATGGAGCCAGGTACGTACGTGTGGGTTCATCCCAGCGGTCTGCAGCAGTTCAAAGCCGTGAGGCATGTCTGTATGTACTGCCAGAGAAGGACTCACAAGATGCCCTTGGTAGGAGAAAAAAACAACGACAAGAAATAGAATACAGCATAAAATATGCTGCCACTATATTTTAAAAAGTGATAGTATATAGGCTTGCCCGTGTATAAAATCCCACATTAAGAACACACAAGGAGCTGGTCATGGGTTGCTTCTGGGGAGGGGAACTGAGGCACAGGGTGACCGGGATGGAAGGGAGACCTACTCTTCATGGTGTATCCTTTTGTACGGTCGAATATATTAGTATGCCTGTGTTACATATTCAGCAAAAAAAGCTCCCGTGTCTAAATTGTGGTCACCATGTTTGCTGTGTGGAGAGAGGGTGTTGAGAGATGGTGGTGGCTTGACCATGGGTAATGGGGATGGAGACAAGTGGGTGGATTCAGGATCCATGTTAGAGGCAGGACCAGCTGGACTCAGTGTATCCCACAATGACTTGCCCCACTCCCGTGAGTTCAGGAAAGCTTCGTGCATTTGAGATTGCAACTGGGCTTATCCGACTCTCCTCTGACTTCTGTGACATCTTTGTGGACTGAAGGGTTCTTGGGTTCCTTCCAGGTGCAAAAAGCCTTGGAACTTGAGAGACTGTCTAATGCATCACAATATGGAGGACATGGTTACAGATACGTGCCCTTTTCATATCCTCATCCAACTTCTAGACAATTTTTTTAAGTAACCTCTAGGCCCAAGGTGGGGCTTGAACTCATGACCCTGAGGTCAAGAGTCTCTTGCTGTACCGACTGAGCCAGCCAGGCGCCCCTGAATGGTTTTTAATGACAATCAAAATGAAGTTACACTGAAGAAGCCCTATCGTGTCTCCATGGAGCTTGCTTTCTTTGCAGAGAGATGCCAAGGGCCAGTACCTGTTTGACCTTCTTTGCCACCACCTGAACCTTCTTGAGAAAGACTACTTTGGGATCCGCTTTGTGGACCCAGACAAGCAGCGGGTAAGTCAATATTTGAAGCGCAAATATTCACTGACCTACTGAGGGTTGGTCAGTGGCCTGAGTCCTTGGACTGCCACTCATACTCTTGAGTTTAGCCTCAGGGATGAGTGGCCCCCCGGGCCCTGCTTTGGGTGTCACCTCTTCAGATCACGTAGCCACCTGGGCAGAGCTCAGCGAGTGTGGCCTGCCGTTCACAGATGCTGAGATTGGCAGCCTAGAGGGCTGACATGATCTGCCCAAAGCTGCCCGGTTGGCGGCAGAGCAGCGGGGCTGGTGTTACTGTCTCCAAGCACAGGTCACAGGCTAAGCCTCTCCCGCCCACTCTCTAGTGACTGAGTTGAGCCACACAGTTCTGGCTGGGAAGGGCCCCACCTTCCACCAGTTTGGGCAGGACAGAGATAGAGCCAAACTGACATGGGCCCCTGAGGACCTTGCAAATGCTTCCGTTCTCATTCTGCTCCACAGACACGGGGCTTATTCCAGACGGAGATGAGAACAGGTCCATCACCCCCAGGCTCCAGCCTGCCCTGACCGGTCTCCTCCCTGCTTGGCTCTCCAGATGCCATCCTTCTCTCTTCCCACAGCCTCCACCTGTACAGTCCCCCCGCCCAGAACATCTCCTCCCTTTCCTCACCTCTCCACACTCCACACTTCACTTCTGGCTGACTCCTTCTCACATGTAATGTCTCAGCTTGGACTTGCACTTCTTCCGGGGATTCTTCCCCCACCCCCACTGTGAACGAGGAGTCCCTCCTGTGTGCCCCACAGGCCCTGTGCTCCCCCTCTTGTAGCACTTTCTACGCCATGCTGTGGTTGCCTGTTGGATTACCTGTGTTCCAGGCAAAAATGGAAGTTCCATGAGTGCATGCACTTACTCTCATTCAGCACTACATCCCATAGAACGAGCACAGGGCCTAGAATGTAGTGGACGTTCAGTAAATATTTGCTGAAGGAGTGATGAGTGGGTGAGTTCATGGTGTATAATGCCAAAAAATTTCCCCCTCCACTTGCCCAGCTGCTCCGCTAGCAGACATCTGCACTTTCTAGAACTTCTTTTCATCAGCCCTTTCCTTTCTGTGGGGATGTATTCTCTGGTGCCCCCACTGAAGTGGGAAAGTATGCAGAAGCATTTGGGCCTGTGTCTCCCTTCCCTATACCCCTGCCCACCCCCCACTCTGGTCTACCATCCTCCAAAGACATTATCAGCACAAATGCCAGAGGGTCCCCCTTCCGTGGGTCCACTGATTTTCCTCACAGCTCCAAACATGGGTTCCATCTCTGTTGTCACTGGGGGCCTCAGAGCCCCAGAAGGCACAGTCCCCTAGCAATGCCCATGACCACAGGTAATGAATGAATGGATACACCCCTCAGCATGCCAGAGTCAAGTGCTGTTTTGTTCTTTGATGCTCTGAGCCACTGTGTCTCCAGGTCACATTTAGAGTTTTCTGTTGAACACTTTAGCTTAAAGAAAGAATCCATAGGGCTGTGTCCCTTTCTTTTGAAAAGCCCTGCCCCCTTCACTGATGTATTCTGGTCCTCTTGGCTCAGCAGAATTTTGAGCATCACCACTGTTTAGAAAGTAAGGTCAGCCCCTTGCCCTATGAAGGCTCCACGGTCTTGACATAAATACTGTCCTTAGCTCTAGAACCTCGAAAGGGCCATGATACCAGGAAGCTACATCTCCTCACATGCTGTAGGTGTCCATTCACTATAAAATGATGGACTGTTTTTACAAGGGGGTTTCTTATTGTTTATTTTTTTGGTCTCAGCTGTTTTCTTCTTAAGAGGGTAGGCCGGTTACCCCAAGTTCTCTTCATCTCCTGAAGAGAGTGGCTTATGAAGAAAAAGAAACAAAACATATCCTCATTATTTTCTAGTTAGGTCAAAATGTGCTTAAGAACAATAAGAGAGTACATGGAGGGGATAAAGATCAAAAGCAGGAGGAGACAGAGAAATATAAAGAAATGGAGAAACGGGGAAATAAACCTCTATGGAGGGGCTACTGTGTGCTGGGCTCTGCACTGAGCATAAACCCAGGCCTTTCAGCCGATGTATGTTGAGCCCTGAGTTCTATCAGGCACGAAGCTAAGAGCTTCCCACGTGTTCTTTAATCCTTACGCAAATGAGCAGAGCATCCACAAGTCAAACAGCCATTCTCTGGCTGAGGAAATAAAATGTCAGGTTAAGTAGTAACTTGCCCAAGGCATATGGCACTGCCAGTCTCCCGCTCAGAGCTGTCTGATGCCAGGCTCTGTGTGGGCTCTAAGGTTCCAGCTGAATTCATACCGGACAGTTTCTTGAAGTTGTGTGACTGTGCTGAGGGGTAAGGAGAGCAGAGAGGCTTGGAAAGGTGCTTGAGAATTGTGGGGAAATTTTTACCCCAGATCGGTTGAATCGTGGTAGAGAATGGAGGGGGTTAGTTCCCCGCTCCCTTAGGTTTCTTAAAATAAACGTCCTCCCCTGGGGCACCAGAACCCAAGCTCACATCCACCCCCTCACTGCCTGCTCTGCACAGGTGTCCATGGGGTCTGGGAACGCTCCTGGTCCCTCCTGGGGCACCAACGGGGGGAGCCTGTTGCTGGCTCAGGTCCAGGGCCCCAGCCTGCTCTCAGACTCCTTTCAAACTGGAGGCACCCTTTCCAGCCACCAGAGCCTCCAGATCATGCCACATTGGCCCAATGACCCAAATACAGGTGGAAACTGCCCTCTCTGAACCTTCTTTTCTCTCCTCCTGACCCTTCCTCCCCAGTCTCCTGTTATCAATTTGCTAGTGATTGTGGGACCCAGATTTAGCCAGACCGCTGCAAAGTTACCCTTTACTCTGTTACTGGTACAAAGTTACCAGTTACTCTGGCCATCTCTCTCTTTTTGGGATCCTGATTTCTCTTGATTTCTCTACCAGACCCTTAAAATCTCCTGGACAAGCTGTGACAGCTTTCGCTTCTCCCCCCACTTCCCCCATCTCCACCAGCCTTTCACTGCAGTGCAGACTGAAGTCCTCTTCAGCCCTGGCCAAGGGGAATAGGCTTTTTGTCATTCAGCTCCACCTGCTTTCTGCTGAGAACGCATCTCGTGGTCTTTCCTTGTAGTGTCCATCTTCCATTGTTTATTTATTTTAATCTATCTGTCAGATGCCTGGGGGCATTCTGAGCCCCAGACGCTCGCTGTGTTCTCCTAGCTGGACACAATTCCGATGTGCTCCGATCAGACGGGCCTCCTCCGCCTTCACAGGCTCAGCCTCGAACCCCACTTGTTTCCATGCAATTTCATCTCTTGCCTTTGCTTCCCCGTGAAGCCAAGCCGCGGTGGGCCGTGTAATGTGAGAAGGACCTCTTAACCACATTGAGTGGCTATAATGAGTTGCCAGCCTCATGGGAACTCAGATCAGAGGAAGCAAGAGAGCAGAATGTCAGCCCAGATTATCCATGTGGAGCTGACGGAGGAACTGGCTCTTAGTGGGTCCATTAACTTCGTGACCCACAGCCCAGCCCAGAAGGTGAGAGCTGGGAACCGCAGGAGGCCAGGATGCTGTCTGCACGGCCCTGGCTGCTTTCCTGCCAGAGGGAAGGTTCTGCCAAGATGTTGCTCTAAATGGAAGTAGCCAGAAAAGAGGGAGATGTGGACCCAGCATGGACCCGCTTCCTTCGTCCGTTTGGTAGCTGCATCTTGAACACTCTTCAGGGCACCGGCGGCTGACAGTTTTCTGCCTTCACAGAGCTTATGGCTCATGGTTTCAGTCTACTTCCAGATAATCTAATCCCAAGTAACAGCCATTGTAGCTTTCTGCAAACTGTCAAACTTACTGATTAGCATAAAAGCAACAAACATCAATAATGCATTTTATAAAGCATTCATGTAGAACTGGGAAACAGTTATAGAATGATCTCATTGCTTCCTTCCCACAAACATAAGTACCATGGGGAAAAAAAATGTATTGCTACTGTATCCTGCCTCTACGAAAATCCAAGGGAAAAACGATATGATCCTACACATTAGTTGTGGTTAGTTATCTTATGAGACTGAGACTTTAAACATCCCTGGATGCCAAGGAATCTGAGTATGTATGCCCTAACACAAGGGTTGGCAATATGCTACTCAAACAAAGATGGAGGATGCACCAGCCATCCCTGCCTTCTCACCATTGATGAAATTCCACCTGTTAATACTTTCTAGAGCCACGACCAATAGCCTCTGTCCCCACTGCCCACCCCTGCCCCCCCCCCCAAAAAAAATAGCTGGCACATAACACAAACACACACAACCCACTAATGTCAGCGTCTCCCTGCTCAAGACAGGTGGGGCTTTGTCCTCATTACACATACGTGCATTCGCTTGTGCCTACTGGTACGCCAGAAATACGTCTCAGAACCCTGGCACCCTACTTTGGAAGGCAGCATTGCCAGGGAAGCCCAGAAATGGCATCTGAAGCTGGAACTCTTCCCCCTTCACAGCTGGTTCCATGGGGAGCTTACTTCCAAAACTCCTATCACTCTCTGCTCTCCAAGCCTACATATCACAAACTTTGGGGCTGCTCTCAGCCTGGGCTACAATCTGTCCAGTTATTTAAATTGGGTAAAACAAGTTAGAGTTGACACTGCTTCTCATTCGGGTTTTCTTGTTCTGTGTTCTCTGTTTCAGCATTGGTTGGAGTTTACAAAGTCTGTGGTGAAGCAATTGAGATGTAAGTATTCTTAATGAAAATGTGGGGAGCCTCACCCCTGGGGAGGGTGGGATGAAGCCTCCCGTGTTTAGTACATCTTGGTCATTGTCCACCGTTCCTGTATAAGTTGGCCCTATACCTGTGAGGACTTTCTTATGATGCATCCCAGTGGGGAGGGAAGCCCGGTCCTCCTCTGGGAAGGGTCTTTCCTGAGACAGGCACGTCTCTGTCTCTGCAGCCCAGCCTCCATTCACCATGTGTTTCCGCGTGAAGTTTTACCCCGCAGATCCTGCTGCCCTGAAAGAAGAGATAACCAGGTAAGGCTGAACTTCCCTCAGCCACTGAGACCTGTTGGAGAGGAAAGAGGGACTGGAGTCTTTCAGATCCTCTATTTTGGAAGCTTCTCACTCTTATAAGGAAGGAAATCTTCCTAAATATAACCTTACTTCTTCTGTATTTCATTTCCACATGCTTTCTTTGCTCACCCCCTCAATGGAACTGGAACAGAGTGAGCTGCTTTCCTTCGAGGAGTGTGAATACTTCACATAAACTAGCCATCTATAAGGAGACCTGGAGTCATTACTTAATCAAAAGCATTTTTTTCTTTTACCAAGGCTGTGGCCACCATGGATGTTTTTGGAGAAGGTGGGTTGCTTTTGTTGGGGGAGGAGGATGTTCCTTGAAATAGACTCCGGTGGCCTAACGTCCTCGGGAAATGCCAAAGCAGGACACTGCAAAATGAGCTGGGAAACACTGAAGATTTTAAATCCAAGTGGATAAACTCCAGTGTGCTGACGGATCCGCCCATGATAAACGCTTCCTTGTGGGGGTCATGTTCTGTGGCGGGCACACAGCTGCACGGAATGGACACAGCACCACGTGAGGATGAGAAGGAACTTCTGTGCCCACGTCATCCTACAAGAGGGTCAAAGAATAGGCGCTTCAAAGCTTCACCAGAGTTTTGTATATATGAGCCAAATTCACTCTGAAAGTCTTGCCTCAGAGATTCAGCAATGCTCTGTACCAGGGATCCTTCATTTTATATTAGAAATATCTAATTTGGACTTGAGCAGAATGTTGGTGTTACCTCAGAGAGGGCGGGGCCCTGGAGCAAGAGATGATGCCAGGGAACCCTAGAGCTGAGGAAGAGACAGCTCTGCCGCTTTCCACTTCCCCCCAAAACCCTGGAGACCGCAGAGACCGGGATGAGGCCGTGGCCAGTTATAGAGACTCTGTCCTGTAAGCCTTTGCCATCTACTTCTAGATCCTGAACTGCTTGGGAGAATTCCAAAGAAAGGAAAGAGGAGGGAAGAAGGGAGGAAGAAGGAATATGGACTTACATTCCCTTCCCGTTCCAAAGAGCGTGCCACTAGCTTTATGTCAGATAAAAGGAGCTTAAGTTTTTCTGAGAAGGAAAACGAGGAAATGGGGAGAGTAAGAGGGCAAGAAACAGGGCTAAGTAGTGCGAAGGAAGCAAAGTGGGACAGAGAGGAAAAGTGGCTTCTCACGGGGGTCCCAGTGGAGGCTGGGGGGGATCTTGCAGTGCCGTCGGGAGGACGAGGAAGGTTGTTTCTTCGGGATGCTCAGGGCAGTCTACACGCACCAACTTTGAAGCTCTGAGGCCAGTGAGGGCATTCATGCTCCTTACTGGGCGTGGAAACGGCAGGTTCTGTTCATCCACACGGAAGTGGTTGTGGCTCCCACCTCGCTCACCCAAGTACAGGAGCAATCCTATAGTTTTAGGAGCGTGAACCTGCCCTGCTCAGGACCTTCAGAGTATTTGCCTCACTCTGAACCTGTCCCTCTCCCCGCCACCTGCTTCTCTGCCAAAAGAGGTGATGATACCAAGGCAGGCCCAGAAGCCCACACTCCTGTCCACGTGTCTGGGCAAACTTAACACCTCTTTCTTGAGAACCTGGCACCTTGCCTCCTAACACCGCACCTCAGGATCTCCTGGTCTCCACCTCACACAACCAACAGTGAGGATGACAGGGATGATTCTAACAACTCAGTGAGCGGCCAGTGAGAGCACGGCAGACACATGGCTTTCTGATTTGATTAAAGGGCAAAAATATATGGTTATCTTGGCCCTTAGGAGCTCTTAACAATACAATTTTCTAAATCAAATGTTCCTCCATAATACTAATGGACAGACTCTCCTACTCAAAAAGCAGCATAGACCTGGAAGCTCTGATCCTATTTCTGTCACTGCTCAGCTCTGTGGCCTTGGACCCAAGCTATTTAACCTGTCTGGCCTTCAGATCCCTATTTATAAAATGAGGAAGAGTAACAGCTCCCGCGTGGAATTGTTGGGAGAACTGACCCCTACACTAGGATCTTGTACTTTGTGATAACCGCGCCCCCCCGCCATCCGGGCAAGCCTTTCGCTGAGCAGAGGCAGCCAGGGGGATTACATGGTCCTTGGACCCCCGAGGGCTCCACACGGGGCACAGGTACAGTTAGCTCTGGCTTCGCTCCTTTGCTGAGGTTAAAAGGCACTTCTTTTCTGAGATTCCCCACTCCTCCTCTGTCCTTTTCCCCGACCAGCTAGAGTCCTGCCACTCAAGCAGCTAGTTTTTGAGGACTCAGAGAAAAAGCCATCCCAGTTAGCCAGTCATCCAAGTCCTGGTGGCACAGCATGAGGGCCATGGCCAGGCCTCTCTCCAGGTCAGCAGGCTTCAAAGGCGCTGACAAGGGAGCGAGCTCCTCCCCCTTCCACACACATCCAGTGCTGAGCATCCTCGACTGTTCTCCCCTTGCTCTCCACCTCACCAGCCTGCCTTCCCTAGAATGCGTTTTCCAGGCGTTGTTGGGAGTGTGAAGCACAGGGTGCCTGCGCCTGGTATGGAGTCTTCGTGCCTCCCCCTCCGAGGCATTCTGTGAAGACCTTGGAATTAGCCCAGTCTTTCTCCTCGTTCACGTCCCTACTGATCTTGAGAGAGTGGGTACCTGCCCCAGCCTCACTCAATACCTGTAATTCATTCCTGCCTTAGAGCCAGCCCTCCATGCCACCTTCCTGCCAAACTAATTTAGCTGTCAGTGTGTTTTTTCCTAGCAATATTGGCCCTCGATTTCAATGCCGTCCCAGCTAGTCCCATAAAGCCAGACTGAGAGGAGGGGATGAAATAGGGAGTAAAGAACTGTGCTTCAATTTATCTCTTGGACTCTTCCCAGATGATAAATTTAGTTGCCAAATCCTGATTAATCTCTTTTGTCATTTTTTTAAAGTAATAAATAGATTTTCTTGTCTGAGCTAGAGACAAGGCAGAGAAAATGGGGATTAGGCACCAGATTTAGCATTTAACAGGGACCGCAGGTGTATGAACTCTGTGGAAAGGTCAAATAGTAGAAGGAAACAGTGCAAATGGCGCCTCCTTCTAAGGAAACAAACTGCCTGACACATTTGAGTGGGGGTGCTCACAAAAAGTATTAATCGAATGACAGGATATATTTGAGAATGAATGGAGTTTATAGGTCATAAATTCCTTTGATGAACACCACTTGAGCCTACCTTAGGCTAAGATGGCCTGGGAAGCATTTTCTATAAAAGGCCAGAGAGTAAGTATTTTAGACTTTGTGCAACATATGGTCTCTGTCACAACTACTCAGTTCTGCCTTTGCAGTGCGAACGCAGCCAGAGATGATACCTAAATGAATGAGTATGGCTGCATTCCAATAAAATGTTGTATTTCACTGGAAACTTTGGTGGCAGGCCATAGTTTGCCGACCCCAGACTAACGCATCGAAGAGAACTGGGTTCAAATTCCAGGTTGTCCTTTAACTAGCTGTGAGACAAGGCAAGCAACAGTCTCTCCAATCAGTCATGTCCTCATCCATGAAGCAGGAAGAAAAAAACAGTAGCCACCTCCCAGAGTCGTCGTGAGGACTGCATGCGAGGGTACGCATTAAACTGTACAGTGTGGGGGCCCCTGGCTGGCTCAGTCAGTGTGGCACGTGAATCTTGATCTCAGGGTCATGAGTCTGAACCCCACATTGGGCGTGGAGCCTAGTTAAAACCAACCAACCAACAAACAACAGTACAGTGGGTGGCTCACAACATGCATTCAGTAAATCATTAATATTTTGTTTTGTTACTGTTTTGTCGGCTGTCTCTCCCCACTGGAATGTAAGCTCCATAAGAGTGGGGATTCTGTCTTGTTCCCTTCTGTATTCCCAGCACCCGTGGCAGTGCTTGGCACATGTAAGTGCTCAGAACTGGATGGATGGATGGATGGATGGATGGATGGATGGATGGATGGATGGATGATAGGTGGGAGGAAGGGTGAATAAGTGAGCTAGGCACAAGATGTACAGATTCCCTAGAATATTAAAAGTAAATTTAAAAAAAAAAGCATCTCTGACTGCAAGGAGATGAATAAAGATTATAGAGGAAGCCAGGGACAAAGAATCTGATGAAGGAAAGTCAGGGCCAAAGTGAGAACTCTTTGGAGAAGCTCTTCAGGAGATGCTAGTTCTCTCCAGAGGTCAGAACCTTTAATTCTGGAGCCATCTGTAGATTCATCTCCACCCTCTGATATCAGAAAACACAGTGCCACAGCCAATACCTTGGAGAGATGTACATGTCACAGAAAGACAGGTTTTCCTTGGCTGTCTTTTTAGGTTTTCACTTACTCTGCCTTTGGATAGTCCCAATTTGCACCTCCATTAATTTAGGACAACATTGGCATTAAAGCAAAAATGGAGATGAGGCCAGGAAGAGATTGGCAAAGTCTACTCAAGAAGTGTCCTAAGGAATAAGCTTGTTGTCTTAATTCTGGTCTGGTCTGTTTGGTTCTAATGAGAATTTCTCTCCGATGACAGAGTTCTCTTGACTTCATTTAGGACCCCTCTCTCTCTAATAACTAACTGAATTACCAGGGAGGTAGAAAAAGCATCAGGCCCTGAGTCAGGAGGCTTTCCTTGATTCTGATCCCGGTATCACCTCAGACAAGTCACTCTACATGTTTGGGCTTCTGTTTCCTCACATATGAGAGAATTAGGCTCTTTAACTCCTGTTCTGAGGTTCTGAGATGGGGTAACCCAACTCATCAGGAGTTGGCTGGGCTTGGTGGCCCCAGCAGGTGATCTCTTCCCTGGTAACAAAGCGGCCCTAGTAGCAGTGTCTCAGGCAACAAGATAGTCTTCCTTAGGCCCATGTGTGGCAGGCGAGAATATGCCATGTTCTCTTGAGAATAGGTCTAGGGATGCTATGAGTCATGTGGGGCGTATTCTCATGTCCAACAACAGCAACTCATTAGTTACCACCTTCAATGAACAAAACATGAAGCTTGATGAAAGGTACCATGGCAGAAAAGGGAGGGGGACCCCTAGTACAGCTCTGTCCCCTGAAGCTAATGGCCGATTCTTTCATGAGCTCACTTCTTATCTTTGAAAGCTGTGCTTTATTTTTAGGATATTGACTTGCCTCCCCTTTCCCTACTCCCTTCAATTGCTGTTCTGTTGCCTGACAACGTTCCTGTGGTCTTACCCTTGAGCCCCTGTACTGTCCTACCTCCAGAAGTCTAAAGAAACCCCACTCGCCAGTGGAAAGCCTGTACCTTTCTAGCTCACTGGAGGCACCCACCATGCACCCATCAATAAAGATGCCTCATGGGGCTCCTGGGTGGCTCATTCGGTTAAATGTCTGCCTTCAGCTCGGGTCATGATCCCAGGGTTCTGGGATCGAGCCCCGCGTCAGGCTCCCTGCTCAGTGGGGACCCTGCTTCTCCCTCTACCTGCCGCTCTCCCTGCTTGTGCTCTCTCTGTCAAATAAATAAAATCTTAAAAAAATAAATAAAGATGCCTCATAAAGACAAAGGTTCTCAGGGTCAGGAGGAGCACGTCCCCCCGGGGGCGAAGGGGGCAAATCAGAAGCTCCAGCAAGGCTCTTTCAAACCCAAGAGACACACACAGATTCTGATGTGCTCCCCCCAGGGGATGTTCTCACTGCCACATTGAGAATCACTGCCCAGAGCCTAGTTGTCCCTTTCAAATATCTCCTTTAGTCAGGTATGTGCTGTCCCTGAATTGTGGACACAGATAGGTACAGAAGGAGTGATATATGAACTCAAGCCCAGGGGATGATCAGTGAGTAAAGGACAAAAGGTTTGCTTCCACATCCTGCCAAAGCCTGTGGAGGGTGGGAGCTGGAGCAGTGAGAGGCGAAGCAGCACTCTCCCCCTCCCGCCTCTTCCCGGCTTTGCCTCCCTCCCTCCTTCCCACTCTCCCATACCGAGGTGTGGCATTTTACTGGGGGAAGCAGAGTGAAGACGAGTAGATCTGGTAGATCCATCTTAACTATTCACTCCACATGTCTCTTTCTTTTCGTTTTTCATGGCAAACACTGGGGCAGAGTGGGGTAGCTGATGGTGGTTGGGGGTGAGGAGCAGAGTTCTTACCAACTTCCAGACTATAGACTCACCTTCCCTTTGGTGTGGAGACAGCAATCCATCCTGATGTGGTTAGATGGATACTTTCAAATATTCTTAGGACAGTGCTTCTCAAACTTTATATATAAGTCACCTGGGGATATTGTTAAAACGATTCAGTAGGTCTAGGAGGGGCCTAATATTCTCCATTTCCAACAAGCTTCCAAATGATGCTGACCCCCCTGATTTGTGGGCCACACTTTGTGTATCAAGGCCTTAGGAGAGTTTTAATTGCTCCTGCATTTGTTTGTTAATTACTTGAATCAGTAAGCCCACCTCTCAGAGTCACCTGCTGGTACCCCTCCCCACCCCAGAAGTTACACCGTCAATGGTCCTCTTTCTTTTGGGCATTTTCACGGGATCAAATGGGCATAGAATCATCTGTATTATTCTTCAGCCTGAAAACAGCAGTAGTGGAAACCTCTAGTTGTCCAGGGAGGGCCCAACTTGTTTTTGGTTCAGCCTGATGGAGTTTAGGGGAATTTTATATTTCCATTACTCCCGTAGAGGTTCTGTAGTTATCTATGGCTAACAGCGTGCCACAAAACTTGGCTTAAAATGATAAGCATTTATTATCTCTCCATTTCTTTGGGTCAGGAGTTCAGGAGTGGCTTAGCTGGGTGGCCCTGGTGCAGGGTCTCTCATGGGCTTGCAGTCCTCTGAAGGTCTGACTGGAGGATTCACTTCTTTATGACTTAGTCTCAGATGTTAGAGAGTGTTGCTTCTGCTTTATTCTGTTTGTTAGAAGCAAGTCACTAAGTCCAAACCACACCCAAAGGGAGAGAATTAAGCTCTACTTCTGGAAATGAGGAGTATCAAAGACACTGTGGGCATATTTCTAAATAACCGTAGATGCCCCAAGACGAGGCAGCACTGTGGTAGGTGACACACATCAGGGTTTGATACCCTTGGCTTTTGCTTTTCTCAGGGCACCTGTAAAGTTTTGACATCAGAGACCTACTCCTTGTAAAGACATTTCAAAATAGAGCCAACAATTCCATTCCACTGTGACAGGGTCCACCCAACTCCTTGTGAAGCCTCGAAGCGGTTATAATGCAAGGAGGGCCATATAACATGGTGACCAAGAGCCAACCAGTCCTGAACTCACATCCTGGCTCTGCCACTTCCCAGTTGTGTACCCTTGAGAAAATCACTTAAGCCTCAGTGCCCTTATCTTAAAAGGGGGCAATAAGACAATACTGTATGTTAATTATACTAGAATTAAATTTAGAAAAGGGGGGGATGATAGTACCTATTTCAAAGTATTAGGTGAGAATTAGATGAGACAGTGCATGTAAAGTGCATAAGACCTGGACTGGCAGATAGTAAGTACTCAATACATATCAGCTACTGTTAGCTGTTATTCTTGCTGTCCTGCTTCCATCTGAGGTGAGAGCTTTCTCTGTTTGAAGAAACACCAGCCACAAGTTGCTCTGCTTCCTTCACTGGTGCCCCTTCTTATAGCTTATTCAAATCCTGAGAGGTCCAGCTGAGCTCTGCCAATAATCAAAGTCTGTTCCACACACAGGCAGGTTGTCTTGTAAGCCGAGGAAGAACTTGGCCTTGGGCTGGTTCCCTCACCCACCGTTCCGCTTCTTAGGAAGAAACATCGGCCAGAATCCACGGCAGAGAGAGGTTCAGTTGGCCCCTCTCTGCTGACACAGGTTTCTTTCTCAGCACCAAATGGGCCAGGGCTGGCTCCTTCCAAAAGCCAGCACTGGAGTGGGGCACAGTGCTTTTGCCAGGAAGCACCAATTCTTTTTTGAGCTACTGAAGGAAATTGACAGGTTGTTTTGAATTGACCCCAAATCAGTTTGGGGCAAAGTACTTGTAAGTCTTCAGGAAAATGGAAAATCCATTTGTTCTGTGGTACATTTTAAGTTTGTTTTAATGTAGTAAAAAAGTGCCCTGACAAGAATTTTGATAGGCTTATATCCCATCCTTATGTCTTTAAAGCCATCAGAGAAATCCTTTCTAGTTCCTGCCTCTGTTTTCTCTCCAGGTACTTAGTCTTCCTACAGATCAAAAGGGATCTCTACCATGGCCGCCTCCTCTGTAAAACATCAGATGCTGCCTTGTTAGCAGCTTACATCCTTCAAGGTAATGACTTTTGACAAGATGAATTTTTGCTTTTCATGCTAAGTACTGATTATATTATTTCAGTTACCACAGATGACTACTTCCTGGGTTTAAACAGTATCTGACTTGAAGCAGAGTCTGAATGAGAGGGCTTTGCCTAGACTCCCTAGGTCCAGAAAGCTCCAACCACTCAACCCTACACTGTGCCTAAGGTCTTTCTGCCAGTGCCTTCAGATCATTGTGACTCTCTCTGGGGTTTCCTCTACCTTGGCTGACAGAGTTACTGAGACTCTGGAGAGTTATCTGAATCAATTTTTTCCTAGCCTTTCATGCAAATCTCAAAGGTGTGAAGTATCTTGGAATTTTGGTGTCCCTTTCAGAGATCTTTCCATTCAGAGTGGTCAAAGTTGGAATGTTTACAAGAAACAGACACATTTCCTAGCATCCATCCTAATAAGGCAGGGTTGACTCTGTATCCAGCTGATGCCGACTGGCTTTTTTTTTTTTTTTTTTTTTTTTTTGCAAAACAGCAGGAAAGGTATGCACTCTTCATGTATGTGATGCCTTCTCCTTCCATCAAGTGCAGGGGCTCCTAAGTGCCACTTCCAAGACTTCTCTTAGTCCTTAGGCCTGAAACTGTCACCAGATTGTTCAAGACCACAGCACTAAAATCAGTTTCCATCAAAGAAACTGAACTCTTAATTGGAAATCTGTGAACTCCAGGAAGCTACTCTGTGAAGAGAACCTGAAAAATGCTTGCCAATAAGAAACTACAGTTCTTCTGCTAAGAGAAATATCATAGCTGCAGTAAGAATGTAAAAGTCCACACATTGCAACTTTGACTTCTGAGACTCCTGTTTTTAAAAAGCAAGTCTAGAAGGTGCCTGCCAACTCTAAGGTACCCAAAGAGGCCACCTTCATTTTTAAAGGAGAACTTGGTCCTAAGTGAGATTTTAAACTCCAGTCTTTCCATCAGATTTACCCTGACAACCATATTGAATTTTTTTTTCTTTTGAAGAAATAATTGACATCCAATACTGATGTTTTCCACTTGGAGCTTCCTAAATAAAATCATAATAAATGACTTCATGGCTCAAGGTCACTCTGGACTATAGATCTGGGAAAGCTTTTAGTCTCTTGCTGAACGATAGAAATTCCCAAGTAATCTGAGTAGATTTGCGCACAAGTACAATATTCAGCTGTGAGGAAGGCACATTTTCCTCTTAATATTTACTCCTCCCTCAAGATTTCTCCAGGGCCTGGTTGTGGCTCTCACTAAGGAAGGAGAAAAGACAACCCCAAAGCAGCTGACACTTTGTAACATACTTCCTCCTCACATATACATGATGTTCCCTGTGCAGCACATCCTGTGTGGTGGGCTGGGGTCTAACTTGCTTTGCGGAGCGCACCCTCTGCAGAGCACACTCTCCGCAGAGTGCACTGATCAGAGATCCCAGCAGCTTTAGGGATGGCCTTTTGCTCTCTAAATGGGTGGAGGAGAGAGCCCCGTCCTGTGCAGAAAACTAAGAAATCAGCCTTAGGACCTAGTGCTCCTGAACTCAATGGCCAGTTTTAACCAGTCTTCCCACTCTCCAAGAGGGGCCTGACACCTGGCCAGCCCTCAGTGTACTCAAATTACATTCACTTGATTTGATTTGATTTTGACTGAGAGTTCAGTTCTGAGTTTGAGTCACGGCTCCTTCATCAGTGTGGCCCTGCTAAAATCCTGATCTGGTTCAGGCCCAAGAGACTCTATCTTCCTGATCAAGCTGTTTCCTGTGCTGCCACAAAGAGCATTGATCCCAGTCCCTTTTCTCAAGACTCACTGGATAAAGACCGTGATACAGCCCTCTGCTCTTTTATTGGATATTTACTTGTGGTGACCACAGAACACAGGCTTGGCTCTAGTGTCTCTGCTTAGGCTTGATACCAACCCAGAGTGCAAACCTGGGAAAACAAAGGTAGGCATGCTTCTGAGGGGCATGCCCTCTGCCTGACCCACAGCCATGCTCAAGATCCATTGTTCTTTATAAATTTGGTGTGTGCTTTGGCTTTTGCTCTGTGTGTTAATTTCTTGTTGCTTTACCAGTGATGATTTGCCTGTCTCCACAACCGTTTTACTCTGCTTTCCTTTTGTAAGCGGAAATTGGGGATTATGACCCAGGGAAACACCCTGAAGGCTACAGCTCCAAGTTCCAGTTTTTCCCAAAACATTCAGAGAAGCTGGAAAGGAAAATTGCTGAGATTCACAAGACAGAACTCAGGTACGTGACACTCATTCGGGCTCAGGACACTCTGCCCCCCAAAGCCCGAACACACAAGTCCTGCGCTGCATCCTTTGCTCCCTCAGACCCAGTCCTCCTAACTCTAAGATGTGCCATTTTCAGTATTCCACTGACAGCACAACCCCAAGCCCTGTAGTGTAGGCTGAGGCTTGAGGGCAACAGGGTCATTATAGTGTAAGGAAAACAGAGAGGGATGGCCTCTGAAAGGTATCTGCTTCACTAAGATAAATGGAGAGAGAGAGCGGGAAGCATGGACTAGGGAAAAGGAAAACATAAAAGGAACAACAGAAGAGAAAATAGATGAGAGGAGGCATGTGAAAAATGGGCAAACCCCTACCTTCAGTCTGTGGCAGTGTGACAGGTGGCTCTGGGTCAGTGGATGGGACTGCACAGGTCTGGCCTGGTTCATAAATGCTGGGGATGCCCTGAGAGCATGTGGTTCGGGGGCTATGTCTCCAGTACTGCCTCATTCAACCCACAGCCCTACACAGAGGGAAGGAGGGGAGAAGCAGCTGGAAGCAGGAAGCTTGTCTTCCTCAGATTCTTAGTTTGCCCAGAATATGCCAAATTCCATAAAATAGCATTAATGTATCCTTTCACCCATATATATATATAGGGTTTTCTACAAAGGCTGATTAAAACAACAACGACAGTAGAGCCTGGGTGGCTCAGTCGGTTAAGTGTTCCACTCTTGATTTCAGCTCAGGTCATGATCTCAGGGTCACTAGATCAAGCCCCGTGTTGGGCTCCACCCTCAGCGGGGAGTCTGCTTCTCTCCCCCTCTCCTTCTGCCCCTCCCCCCTCACAAGGCTCTCTCTCTCTAAAATAAATAAAATCCTTAAAAAATATATATATACATATATATATATATTTTTAAGGATTTTATTTGACACAGAGAGAGCACAAGCAGGGGGAATGACAGGCAGAGGGAGAGGGAGAAGCAGGCTTCCTGCAGAGCAGGGGAAGCTCAATGTGGGGCTCAATCCCAGGACCCCAGGATCATGACCCGAGCCAAAGGCAGTCACCCAGTCAACTGAGCCACCCAGGCGCACTAAAATTCTTTTAAAAAAGCAGTAGTGTGTATGCACTCTACTTTGTGTGGCATGCTGAAGTACAAATACCCCAAACTGATAAACTATGGAGAAAAAGGCTATATACAATGCAGTACTGTAAAATAAAACATGCCATCATATTAGTATGTTACAATTTTTTAAAATCTTTTTTAAATGTTTGCTTAAACTACCTTCCTGGAACAGGATAATGCCTAAGGGGTGGGGGGGGATATTTCTAATGTTGATATTAAGCTTCAACTTAATATTGCACTGGCTCCCACGCTCCCAGGGGAATGGAGACACCTACCAGAGGTGGAATCCTAGCTGCTCCCCATCCCTCTCCCGGTGCTGGTGTGGCCTTTCTTGAGCAGGCCAGCTCCTCCCATCACTGTTAGGGAAATAGCGGCCCCTTGTGGTAAAGGTCAGAATAAACGTGGACCTTTGAGAGGGTTCAGGGTTCGTTCAAAGCAGAGGGTTTTACATGTCAGAGCAGTGGGGACAGCCCTCCAGAAACCTAGTAGGAGACAGGGGTTCCCCCAGGAAATGATGCCCACTTTGAGGGCCCTGGAGGCTTGGGCCAACTCCTGGAACGAATGGAGCCCACAACACCCTCCAGCTTCCAGACAGGGAGTGAGGAAGGTCCCCGCGAGGGGCAGTGGTCCTCAGCTGCCTCTGGTGCCCAGCCTTTTGCCTGCCCCACAGACATTTCCCAGACACCTTCTCCACACCTCAGGCTTGCTGGTGGCTGTAGAAATCTGCAGTCAACATAATGCCTGCTTGCACAGGTTGGCCTCATCTTCATTATGTAAAAATGTGTCTGTTTCCTCCCTCGGCTCTAACGTGAGTTCCTGGAGGGCCCAGACTGTGCACTTTATCTCTTGGTAGATTTTACAGCAAGCAGCATGGAGGCTGGCACAGAATGTGCTGATTGATGTCCCTCCCGAAGGACACTAGGGGGAATCTGGCCTGCTCCTCCCTGCTCTGCCTCCTCTTCCTGCACCCATATTGCTTGAGACAAATAATGAACAAACTTAGAAATCGGCAACTTTCAGTCCTGCCCACCAGCCCTCAGAGTTGCTGTTGACACACTGCCCACCCCTCCTCGAGAGTGAAACCAACCCAGCATCTGTAGGAGTGTGTCTGCTTCACCAGGGCTCTGGACCCTGAGGGTGCCTGAGGTAACACTGTCACTGGTTCTGTGTGGAGCTCAGGAAAGCACCTGCGCACAGGCAGCTGCAGAAGGAATGACGCTGAAGGCCCCTTCCTCAGGCTTGGCACTAGGGCTGCTTTCTTCCTTTTCCTGCTTGTTTCCTTTTCATAGTCATCACCCTGTGGACAAACAGAGCTATTGTGGAGACTGGGGAGCTCAGCACTGTCTCCTGCTGTCTCTTCACTCTCCATTCCCATGTTCCCTTTGGGTAAAGGAAACGTGTTGGCAGCACCAGCAAGATATATAGGCCCCTTCTTTGTATTTCAGTCTAGATCAGACAAGAAACCCAATGGCCTACAGCCAGCGTACAAGTGTGTTTTGTTTGCCTGCCTGGTATTTGAAATTGTGAAATACCACATAAAAAGCAGTATCTCTGATTTCCCTTTTAAAAGCAGTGCTTTTAACATCTAGCTGTGTTGGGCTTTGCATTCCCACCTGACTACAGTCTTGGAGCTGCTGCCCTCATTTGGTGAGGTAGCACTCCCCAGTTTGGCACAGCCCCCACCACTCCCTCCTGTTTACACTCAGGCATGTCATTCGTTATGTAGTCGGCCTCAGTCTGAAGACATCTGAGTTTTTGACCCCAGAGAAAGGATCTCTGAAAGTTGGTCCTGAACAGGGCAGGGAACACACTCTATGGAAAAACCAGAGTGTAAGACTTACCCTGAACACTTTTAAATATATATATATATATATATATATATATATATATATATATAGTTTTTTTTTTAGAGAAAAAGCGTGAGTGAGTGGGGGGAGGGGCAGAGGGCGAGAATCTTTCAAGCAGGCTCCCTGCTGAGCACGGAGCCCGACTGGTGCTTGATCTCACAAGATCATGACCTGAGCTGAAATCAAGAGTCAGACACTTAACTGACTGAGCCACCCCCTGAAAGCTGCTTAATGGAGAGTTTACCTCAGGGGAGTCTATGAAAACAGGAAACCCTGAAATCATCTCATTTTCGTTATTCCAGTGGTCAAACACCAGCAACATCAGAGCTGAACTTTTTAAGAAAAGCACAGACGTTGGAGACATATGGAGTGGACCCTCACCCGTGTAAGGTAAGACCCCCGTGGTCCGAGGCTCCAGTGACCTTGCCTCCTCCAGAGGCCAACAGGCAGGGAAGGAGTACATGCCTGCGCCAGCCACCCTCAGTATCTGGCTGACTGGCTCTTTCAGAGACAGAGGACAGCAAAAGTGTCACTCCTTTTGAAAACTCCTCTGGCTTCCACGCTGCATAATTTTGTGGTGCCACATCAACCTCAGAGGGTCCGAGGCAAAGTCAATCTAAATAACAAATCCAAAGCTGGGGCCCCACTTTGGCAGCAGTGGGTAATTTTGTGGAAACGAAGACAGAAGTGTGGAAGTCCCCCCACGGGGAATGATCAGAGGCCACTCAGTGGACTGCCCGCCCTTCCCTGACCTGTACTCTAGTTTCTTTCCAGGAGCGGGGTTTATTGCCCGCAGCAGCGTAAGTCAGTGCACGTACCTGCGGCGGAGTTGCACTTAATTCCGTTATGCGCCTGGGAGGCGAGACAGGAAGCAGCCAGGAAGCCTCTGCCCAGGGCAAACCTCTGTAATTGCTCACATGTGTCTGGCATTTTGGGGAAGAGCGCAAGCAGCCACAGTCACTATGCAGAGCAGTGGGGGGACATGGCTTCTTCCCCTCTCTGTGGCTGTGTCCCTCCACTTCATCTCCTCATCTCGGTTGCTTTGACACTCCTGGTCTCTGCCTCAGTTTCCCCAGCTTTTGCCTCTCTTTCCACCACTGGAAACCAGTACCACCAGTAAAGCTGATTCTCAAACTAATCTGAGGGAGCCATTATCCTATGGGAACAAGAGAACACTGCCCTTTTTCTTCCTGAGGGGACACCATAAGTTTCCAACAAAAATGAAAAGAACAGAATAGAGGGGCACCGAGGTGGCGCAGTCGGTTAAATGACCAACTCTTGATTGAGGCTCAGGTCATGATCTCAGGGTCACAGGATTGAGCCCCGTGTCAGGTTCCACACTCAGCAAGGAGTCTGTTGAGATTCTCTCCCTCTCCTTCTGCCCCCTCCTCAAATAAATAAATAAATCTTAAAAAAGGGGAAAAAAAAAAAAACAGAAGAGAAAGCAAGGAACCCAGTAATGTAGGTGCAGAGTTGCATTTCCCTTGGCCTCTGGGTGAGATGATGGTGATTTGTTCTTGCATGGGATTTGATGCTGAAACTTCCAATATTAACTTTGAGAACATTCTGGCACTCAGAAACCCTGGTCACCTTTCCCACTCCACACAGTTAACCAGTACAATCCACCAGTACAACCCACTGCCAGATAACCCTTGTGTTCTTGGGGGCCAGCACTGTCAGAAAACACATCCATGCCTGTTAGTACAAAAAAAAAAAAAAAAAAAAAAAAAGTATGGTTATTTACAAATGAATTCGCGAATGCCCTCGTATGAATGGATACAGATACATCCACAAATTGCTCAGATACTATCCGCAGGGAGACTGCATAGGACTGAAGAGAGCTTCGGAGTCAGCTGGCCTTGACTGCAGCTCTGATCTCTGGCTTCCTGAGGCCTTCGTAGGCTTCTCTGAGTCTTGCTTTCTGCATCTATGTGAAAGTACACAGAAAGTACTCAGTGACTGTGCTCCACGAACTGCTGAGTCACTTCAGGACCTTAAAACACATAGCTGCCTAGAGATAGCGATCTTCACCGTAAGGTGCCAGGTCATCTCCAAGCCAGCTGGTAGACGGTGAACCTGAGCACAGCTTAATGGAGGTGGGTGAGGGTTCTCTACTGTTGCCTATGTGCGTCTGGAAGCTATAGTGGCAGCCAGCCTGGTGTCCAGCCCACGTCCGCATGTACCCTAGGGCTGTGAGGCTCCTGGCTCAGACCCACCTTTGATGAGTTTGTCCATTATCAGACAGACAGAGGCTAAAGAAGCTGTGGGAAGGAACCCCTATTAATACCAGGCACTGTGTGAGGCCCAATCCCTCATCATTTTTTTCTTTTTTTTTTTATAATTTATTTATTTATTTAATTGACAGAGAGAGAGAGAGACAGTGTGAGAGGGAACACAAGCAGGGTGAGTGGGAGAGGGAGAAGCAGGCTTCTGGCCGAGCAGGGAGCCCGATGTGGGGCTCGATCCCAGAACCCTGGGATCATGACCTGAGCTGAAGGCAGTCGCTTAACCAACTGAGCCACCCAGGCGCCCCATCATTTCATCCCCACAGCATTAATTCCTTGAAGGAAGGAGGGAAGACACATTTGTGGCATGCCTTCCATGGCAGGCCCACTGGAATCCTTTTGCATTATTTTTTCATTTAATCCTCATGCCAGCCCTAGGAGGTGGATTTTACTCTTCCTGTTTTATAGGTGAGAAGATGAAAGCTCTGGGAGGCCACAGCTTACTCCCTCAGTAGGAGACCAAGAATTTGAACTCAACTCACTTCCCAATGTTAGGTATCTGTAAGGAACAGAAGCTTACTCCCTGAGTAGGAAACCAAGAATTTGAACTCAAGTCACTTCCCATTGTTAGGTATCTGTAAGGAACAGAAGCCCCCAGGAGACTCCCTCTAGGGAGAAGGTGGGAGCGGTCATCTTACTGGGCTTCCAGTCCCTTGTTCCCAGGCTCTGTACTTCCTGCTCCTCCAGAGTCAGGGCCCTGCTGCAGACCCCACACATGGCCCCTCAGTTCATCTCATTGGGCTCCAGATCATAGTTTCCTTAGCCCTCCTGAGCAAGAACAGTTCAGGAGCCTTTACTCTTGTCATTAAGTAGGGTTACTTTGGTGATATGCTACCAAGCACTCGCCTTAATGTTGCTACAAGGAGAGCTGAAATAAGCTGGAGCACTCGGTGTAATAAATACTGATGATTTCTATTAACAGAGAGGCAATTACTGGGCCCAGGGAATCTGGGGCATGCAGCCCTAAGGAGGACAGAAGAAGAGGAATCGTTTTGATAATTAAATGAGAGCAGAACAACACTTCAGCTGGGCTCTATTCTCCTGGACTGATTAAGAAGCTGCTGTTCTTCTTATCCACACTGATGGTTTCTTTCTGCCCAGAGCGTCCTTGTCTGGCCCTGGGATGAGGAAGAGGAGATCCTACCAACTCTGGGTGGGACAGCCAAAGGGCTCCAGCAGCTGGCTGGCTTACAATAATACCCAGGCTCTGAACTTACACAAGCTATCCTGAGCTCTCTGCATCGCCCCTCAGCCCCCATCTTCTGACGGGAGCCCCTAGCAGGAGGAGAATGGAGCAAACCACTGGCAGCCCAGTGTTGCATCTATCCCCAACTCTGACACCTCTCCAACCTCAGGAGCTACCATCTTGTTCCTTCCAGGGGACCCTGGGACTGGTTATTTGCCCTGGATCTCCTGTAGGCCCACTGTGGCTTCTTGCCCTGTTGAGGTTTATGGAGTGGTCAGACCCATCACAGATACCCATCCTGTACCCAGCCTTATGATGAGTCACAAAGGTGCCATTTATTGAGAGCCTGCACCTACCCAGCACTTATATATACTATCTCATTTAATCTTTACAACAACACTGCCAAGAAGATGTTCTTGTCCTCATTTTGAGATAAGAACACTGAGCCTGGGGCGCCTGGGTGGCTCAGTTGGTTAAGCAACTGCCTTCGGCTCAGGTCATGATCCTGGAGTCCCGAGATCGCGTCCCGCATCAGGCTCCCTGCTCGTCAGGGAGTCTGCTTCTCCCTCTGACCCTCTTCCCTCTCATGCTCTCTATCTCTCATTCTCTCTCTCTCAAATAAATAAATAAAATCTTAAAAAAAAAAAAAAAAAAGAACACTGAGCCTGGGCGCTTGGGTGGCTCAGTCAGTTAAGCATCTGCCTTCGGCTCAGGTCATGATTCCATTTTCTTACACCACTCAACAGGGAGTCTGCTTCTCCCTCTACCCACTTCCCCCCTCCCCCTGCTTGTGATCTCTCTCTCAAGCTCTCTCCATCTCTAAAATAAAGAAAATCTTAAAAACAAAAACACTGAACCTCTGAGAGACCAACTAACATGTCCAGAGTTACTGGTAAGGGACTCAAGCCTGGACACGCCTGAGTCTCAATGCTGTGCTTTTTCAGTTACCATTCATAGTCTTTCTTCTGGGGAGATGGCATGTATTTAGGAACAAAGAAGGACTCACTACCAATTCTGATAGAGAGAACCTATGACACCACTGAAATCATCAGAAAAATTTAATGCCAGTTCACCAAGTGGCTTTATGTCTGTTCTATACAGGAGAAAACTGATTTCAGAAGATCTAGGTTAGAGCAACCATACCAATAAAATTGTCATTCCTCTGACCTTTCATAATCAGCCACCTACAGTCCTCTCTAAATAAACCCCCTTCCCCATCTTGATAAGTTGCCCCTGACCTCAGAGAAAAAGAACAAGGATCAGCGATTAAAAAAAAAAGAAAAAAGAAGAATCAGCGATGACTTGCCCTCTTCCCCAGGTGGGCCCCTCCTGGCTACGCTGTGGGGAGAGTGGTAGGTTTACTGCTGAGATGAAGAACTTGACTAAAGCCACTTAGGTGGCAAGTATGTGCCAAGATTTCCATTTCTGATCTTTAATGGGGTGACACCAAGGCTCTTACAGGGTTGCCTCCTAATTTCCACTCCAGTTTCTTGTGACCATGTTTAAGTATATTGAAACTGGGTGATTTTCATGATTGACTTAATGTAAAGGTTCCTACCTATGAGTTTTCAGGGATGAGCATAAGTGTGTAGAAGAGCATGTGATATCTTCTTCCCTAAGGTTTTCTTTTTTTTCTTTTAAAGATTTATTTTAGAAAAAGAGAGCATGCATGTGAGCAGAGGGAGGTCCAGAGGCAGAGGGAGAGAGAATCCCAAGCAGACTCCCCACTCAGCACGGAGCCTGACACAGGGCTCGATCCCATGACCCTGAGATCATGACCTGAGCCAAAATCAAGAGTCGAACGCTTAACCAACTGAGCCACCCAGGCGCCCCTTCCCTAAGGTTTTTGAAAACAAAGGTTTCATCCACCCATGTTGAATTAGTTTAAGTCATGCTCCAGAGAGGGAACTGGATGATCTTGGAAAAATACCCTGGTTCTGACTCTGGCATATCCAGGATGTCCTCTGGGGCGGCAGCAGACAGAAGCGTACTTCATTGTATCCAGAGGTGGAACCCACGGGGACTGGGCAAAGGTGGCCAGATGTCCCTACATCCCAGAACCAGTCAGTGCTGTGATTTCCAAAAATCCTTTTCTGGGCAGAGTGATCATCTTAAGGTGAACCTTTGATGTCAAACTGATGCAGTCGAGTTTTATGGTGGTTTCTACATGAACATCTGAAGGACTCCGTGCAAATCCAGCCCTCCAAGAAAAAACACGATTGGCCATGTCCTGGCAGTAAGTCATGTAGGCCATCACCCTAAAATCAGATAGAAGTAGTATTTCTTGAAGAATATATTATGGCCCTCATTTGACAAATGAGGAAATTGAGGTTCAGAGAAGTTAAGTAAGTCACATAGCAAATAAGAAGCGGGGCTAGGGTCCTAAACCAAGAATGAAGCTCTTTCCACAAGGATGAGAAATTGAAAACAAATCTTATGCCTCACAACTATAGAAGTGAACTAAATACTGTAGACCATTATCTGATGCAGAGGGGGGCTGGCAGTATGTGCTGTGTGGCCACCCAGATTGAGTTTTTATTCCACCTCTCAGATCCATGAATGCTCAGTCCTGTGGGTACCGATCTCGTCAGGACAGGAAGGGGACAGAGAGGAAAGGTAGCCTCCAGCTTGATAAGATGGAAGATCTAAGGAACAGGTTACCACTTTCTGTGTCACTTCTTTCCTCGTCCTCATTTCTTTCTCTTTTTGTCATATAACTTGTCCTTTTGCATACACATTCCAAGGGCAGGTTCACACGAGAATGACATGTTAGGTGGAAGAAACTGGGAAGGTTCCGGAGGTGTCAGCGTGGCTGCCTGTTTGCGTTTCCGTGCTGGTGCAGATGCGAGGCTTCTCGCTGTCATTCCAAGTCTGCTGCTCACGTGCCAGAGACAAGATGCAAACCTTCCAGCTGCCCTCGCCCGGGTGGACACCCAGGTGCCAGGCTTTGCAGGAGCCTTCATCCACAACTGTTACATTGGAAGCAGTCTGGAGAATTGATCTCTTCATGTGAGAGACTGGACTGGGATTGCTCAAGGGGCTCTTATTACTTATTGGAATGATGTGGCGTCTAATTGGGGTTTATTCCCAGTCTGCTCTCTGTTCCATATCAGCCAGTCTGGTCAGGAGAGGCTGTTCCCCTTGAATTCCAACATCTGCCTTCACCCAGAGGCCAGCCCTGAGGTGTCTGGACAGTGCAGACGACAGTGCCAACGGACAGCCTGGCCAGTGCTGCCCAGCTTGTGGGAGGACCTGCTCTTCCCTGTGCTCTGGCCAGAGAGGCCTGTCACTGGGACAACTCTCACAGATCTCTGTCACAGCCTCTGTCTCCTTCCCCTTTTGCCCACTTCACTTTGGCCACAAATCCCCCTTCTCCACAGGCCCCTAACAATGAATGACTGACTTCCCCTTTCTACCCCAACTTCCCACACCCTCATTTCCTAACTAGCAAAATTTAAATCTGTCAACATCAGGAAAAATAGTAAAATACTACATTTTTAAAAAAGATTTTGTATGAAGCTCAACAAACTCATATTAACAACAACACAACCTCTAACATGTCCTTCAGTGTCTACTAAGCACAACCCAAGAGACAGATATTATCAACCCTAATTTTGCAACAAGGAGTCTAAAACACAGAGAAAGGATGGGACCTAGCTGAGGTCACACAGGCAGTGAGTGACAGAGCCAGAACCTGGGCTTGAGTGGTCTGACACAGGGCCCGTGACTGTGGTCATGGTGCAGGCGCTCTTCTGCCCTGCTCTTGCCCATAGGGGTCAGGGGTGCAAGAAGCAGAGGGAGGCCCTTCCCTGGCCAGCCCACTGCTTCCCTTCCCTACTCTTTACCCATTGTTTCTAGCCACCCACAATCCTCTGCTGACTTGATCCTTCCTTTCCATCCTTCCACCTATTCTTCTTTCTAGGCCTTTCCTCTCTCTCACAACACTGTAAGATGCCTTCCCCACCTTCGCTGCACCTGTGCCTTCCCCTCTTGTTTTTGTTCACGTTTGTACTGCCCCCTGGCCCCTCTGGCCCACCTCATTGTCTTACACATTCATCTGATAAACATTTCCCGCAGGCCTAGTCTCTGAGTACAAATAAGGTAAGCTTTCCACCCTCAAGTCACTTTCTGAACCTGCAGTTTCTGGACTTCCTTGGGTCCTGCCTGCACCATGAGCAGAAGGCCTCCCGGTGCCCACCCTCCATCCGAGGCAGGCTGCCCTCCCTCACCCATGTCTGCCAGGTATTGTCCCCCCCAGAGGCCAACCTGCTGGGTTAGCACTGGTGCCCCCGCCAAGAACCATGCTTTTGTGCAGTGCTGGCACTCAGGTATTAATAACTAACACTAAGCACTGATGACAGGCAGGAGGAAAATCAGCCCCGTGGCTTCACAGTATCTCCATTCAGGTTATTTTTAAACAGCTCTTTGCTGTTGCCCCTGGGTTGAAGGACACGGTGCTTGTAGCCAAGTGTCAGGATCACGAAAGACCCTGTGGAAAGGACAATAAAAACAATACATTAATTGGAAATGTTTACAAAACATATAGTTTATTCGCTAGGCCCAGATGCTCACACCTGTAACCCTGACTCAAAGAGACAGTTTTAAGACAAAACTGCATTTTTCCCTTGAGGCAAGGCTCACGAGGCCCTGCAGAGGCCCCACGGTTCTTATTCTTAGACCTAATCAGGCTGAAGATGTGTGCCAGGGAGGCAAACCATGAAAGTGGGAGAGGCTAGGAGAGCCTGACAGCCACAGCCCCCACTTGGATGCCTCACATCAGGTGCCTGACCTGGACCCCATGGCACCATGTGAGCTACGGCTCAGACAGATGTCCTACATGTACATTTGGCCAGCATCCTGGGATAATTTTCTGGCCACGTGAACACACACCCTGACAGAGCAGTCTCTCACCCGAGGCCCCTATCACGAAGGAAGTTCCTCTGACAGAGCACAATCCATCAACCCGCTTTCTGTGCCCCACCCCCGCCTGGCTCTCAGGGAGGTCATTTTCCCACGTGAGGGAACCATGACCTAGAGCTTCTGCTGTACCTCCTCCTGGATTTGCTCAGCAGAACCTCAAGACTGGTATTGACAAACTGATAGTGACCAGTGGCCAGGAGGCCTCTTTGATGTTTCAGGCACCATAAGACTGACGGTGGCTCGTCCACTTAGCTGGTGGCTTATCTTTTCTTCAGCTAAACTTGGTGCAGAAGCCCGATGTGTAGGGCCATTATAATAATAACTGCCATTCATCCTCTTTCTCTCTGATAACAGCTTTTTTGAGAAATAATTCTCCTATCATAAAATTCACCCTTTTGAAGTGTGTAATTCAGTAGTTTTAGTAACAGAGTTACGCATCTATTAGCTGTCACTCTCCATCTCCCCTTCCCCACAGCCCTGGCAACCAGTCATCTTTGTTCTCTATGGACTTACCTACTCTGGACATTTCATACACATGGAATCATACAACACGTGATCTTTTGTAACTGGCTTCTTTCACTTAGCATAATGTTTTCAAGGTTCATCCATATTATAGCATATGTCACTACTTCATGCCTTTTTACTGCTGAGTAACATCCCTCTGTATGGATGTACCACACTATTTATTAATTTGTCAGTTGATGCGTATTTGGGTTATTTCTGCTTTTTGGCTGTTATGAATAATCCTGCTATGAACATTCATGTACAAGTTTCTGTGTGAACACGTGTTTTCAGTTTTCTTGGGTACCTAGGAGTGGAACGAACTGTTGGGTCATATAATAACTCTATGATTAACAATTTGAAGAACTTCCAAACTGGCTTTCTGAAGTGACTGCACCATTTTACAATCCCACCAGCAGTGTGGGAGGGTTTGCCATTCTCTTTGCATGTTCACAACAGCCTTCTAAGATTGTTACAACTTAGAGTTGAGGGCACTGAAGCTTAGGGAAGGTAAACAGCTTGCCTGTTACTTCCAAATGCTCCTCCCTGTGACCTACTGCCACATATTAACCCTGTATCACTGATGAACAACTATGTTTCTCACCCTTTCACCTCTATGCCTGCATCACCCTGATGAGAGGTCCTTCTGTGTTGCAGGATGTGTCAGGAAATGCTGCATTTCTGGCCTTCACTCCTTTCGGGTTCGTTGTTCTGCAAGGAAACAAGAGGGTCCACTTCATTAAATGGTGAGTATCTTCATTTCCAAAACAGGCCTTTTATACCTCACCAGCTGGGGAGGGCTATGGTTCCCATGTCCTTTGTCTGTGATTGGGCAGTTATGGTTCTCAGCCCCCTCAAAGCCTTGCATCCATAATGATAACTGAACAAGGTAGTGGTCTCTTCCTAGGGATCCTCTTCTTCCAAAGGGGTGTTCCTGAGAGCCAACAGCCTCTCCAGAGAGAGAAAGAGTGTAGAGGGTTGATTTCCGGGTACGATGAGAGACCCGGGGCTGGAGCCAGTGTTAGGGAGGCAAAGTTCCTATGAGAACTGAGTCCTTGGGACTGTCCCCCACTGAAGACCACAGCATCTGCATGGCTGTTTACTCCCTTAACCACTGGCCTAAGGGAGGAGGGGCTCACCCTTGGGGCAGATGTAAGTTATCTTGCAAAATCCCCTCCTTAGGCCAGATGCAAGTTATCCTTGGCAAAACCCCCTCCTCAGGCCAACCCCCACTGTGGGCACTGCCTGCACAAGCACAGATGCTTCCCAGTCTCTCTCCTATCCCTCTTTAGGGCTCAGGTGTCTTCAGCCTCCAGGAGTCACATCCCCACCTATCTTCCCCTCTCCCTCCTCCCACTCCCATTTCTAGCAGGCAAGAGCTACTGCCTCAGCTGAAGCTACTCTGAACTACTTCGTCTTTCCCCTGTCAGTTTTGGGTCTGTTCTGGATGGTTCTAGGAGCTGATGCAGCATAGACTGCCTTATTGATGGACACTTGGCTCTCCTGGAGCCCCTTTTTCTGGCCTGCAAACATCTTTCAGCCTCATCAGAGCATGTTGTATATTCTACTAAGCCTCTGTGATTTCTGTACCTTTCTGGCCTTCAACTGCCAAGTCTAAGCTGGCCAACTCCTCCCCTGAGCTTGGACAAATGGCTTACCTTGCCCAGCAGAGCTCAGCTGGGGAAGCTTGCTCCTGTCTTGGTTCCTTTGCCTTCTCCAGAAGAGCTGATGGGGAATCTGAGGACAAAGCTGTTTCCTGGCGAACTTTCTGCTGGGGGTGCTGCAGGGCATCTCTCTTCTTGTGTCCTCTTCAGCTCCCCCACTGAGCTTGTGGATAGACACCACCTTTCCAACCCTACTGCTCTTGTGCAGACTGTCAATATGATCACCAGCCAGAGCGCTAATGGAAGTGCCCCCCAGACACGACCAGTCAGGACCCATTCCCCAGGAAAACAGCCACTTCACAAGGCAGGTTGCTGCACTGAGTAACCAGGGCATACCCCAAAAGAGCTCGTTGCTAGGCCTTCTGAAGTTGGCCCACTCACTGTGCTCTTTGGGTGACAGTGGTGAGGGTTTGGGGTCTCCTGTCTAACAAAATACTTTTCAGAAAAAGGCAATGAGTAGGGTCAGGCCACTGCTCTCCCAGTGAGGAGCACTTGCTTCCTGAATATAGCTGGGTTGTCTGATAGTGCTTAGAGGGCCCAGATCCTGGCCCACACTCTGACCAGTGTAGCTGTCTCATGAGGTTCCTGGTAGAGGGCATCCGTAGCTAGAAACAATTAGGACACACCTGTTACAGGGCCCTGCAGTCCAAAGTATCCTTCCCCATCCAGAAGCCCTGATGCTCACCTGATTCTCCCCAAAACTTTTCATTCTGTGTCTTATCTCACATCCCACTTCTTCACGAAGTCTCCTTTTCACTGTGTCTCAATTTTAAAATAACAGATGTAAACCTAACCTCACTTTCAATAGAATGTTCCTTACTTTCTTATCTTGCTTGTTGAAGCCTAGATGATCAGTGTATTTGTTTACATATTAATTTTTATTGTATTCTGAATGTGTATGAGAGAGACTGATTGAATGAGAGGGACTCAAACAAGGAATACCATGTGCTTGTATTAGCTCAGAACTGGTGGTCAGAAATTGTGAGCTCTCATCCTGACCCAGCCATGATTTCTAGGAAGCAAGTGACCTTCCTCTGTCCCCTAAATTTTGGCCAGTAGTAGAGTAGGTACATGGTTCTCACTACCTTTCTGCTACTTCCTAAGATATTGAGAAAATCTCCCTAGAGATTGCAAAGAGGAAGAAAGCCAAATTGAGGCAAATAGGCATGGTCCGACCTCCTTGGGGGTCCCAGTTGGGTACCAAGATAAGGAGTCCACCCCCCAGTGAGATGGAAGGGAAGGGCCTTCAGGACCCAAAGGGCAGCTGTGTCAGGCAAATGGAAGAGAAGTGAGGAGTGACCGATGCTGAGGCCTAGTTCTCTGGCTCTCAGGGACATCCACCCAAGACCCTGGTCATTTTTCCATTTTGTAAATGTAACCAAGGCTGAGAGCAGTATGTGAAGGTGAGGTCTAAGCTGTGCCATGTACAGTAACCATGTCACTTCTTCTGATTTGTGTCTGTCCCGCGGGTGACGTACCCCAGTATCCTGTTTGCCTCTTTTACTGCAGCCATTCACTGGGCTGGTGGCTTCAAGGATTTTTCTACAAAAACCCCTAAGCCCCTTTCCTGGTCAGTACGCTGCATGACTGTTCCATGTAATCTGTTCTCTCTCTTTGGTATGTTGCCCCGCCCCCCTCCCTGAGATTGTTTGACATTTGTTTGCATTAAACTGCATTTTCCATCCAGTGGCACAGTCACCTGAAAGACTCAACTCCCTCAGAACCTGGTTGCATTGTTTTTCATTATTTGCTGTATCTTGAACTTTGGCCTCATCAGCTACCTGTGGCATCTTATATTTGACAGTCCCATCCAGATAATGCACCTGCATTATGAACCAAATCCTGAAATGGCCCTGGACCACTCAACCTAGACTCACTTCCCATGCAAAGGTTTCCCTTTTACAGCCACTGTTGATGAGCCCGAATACCTCCTATCACCCTATTATTATAGTGTGATTGATCGGAAAACTGTGGATTGAACTGTTTCAGCAACTGTTCTCTAAGGCCACTGCGCTGCTGTCTTGTTTCAGTTCTAATTTTGGCTAAAACTGTGTCTGTGCCTGGAGCCCCTTCCAGTCAGGGTGGGCTGTGCATCTACAAGACTTAACTGTGAACAAGCAGTCCACAACAAGGTGACAGGTGCTTTCTTTGTGCTTGTAGGAATGAGGTGACCAAGCTGAAATTTGAAGGAAAGACTTTCTATTTATACGTAAGTCAGAAAGAGGTGAGTGCTGGCTTCTTTCTCTTCAGGGAGGGCTGGGACACTGAGTGGTTCCTGATGGCCAGGACTGAACCAAAGTGGTGTATCCAGGTAGAACTAAGCCATCTGAATGATAAGCCAAGACCTGAAGGTGAGGGATGGAGAAATGGCTAGGCCCTGGAGCCCAAGACCTTCCTCAGGGATGCTGGTGACACCCAGAGGTTCCATACCTCCAGGAAATGCAGACAATGCAAGATTCTTTTGCTTCTATATGAAAATTCCAAGAAGATAATAAACTTTAAAAAGAAGTAAAAAAAATCCCAAACGACACTAACACTTTCTCTGGTGAGGGCTGTCTTGCTTCAGTTTGTACGAGCTGAGGCTTACTGTACTGGGCCTGCCAGGTGTGAACTTACTAAACTGAGCTCTGCCCCAGTGGGTCCTGCAGACCTTCTCTTCCAACTAGCCAGCTGCCAGGCAGCTCCTTCTCCCACCTGAAATCTCTTCCTGCAGTCCTGGGGAGCCCTCAGGCAGTCCTGGGGAGCCCTCAGACAGTCCAGGGGTCAGTGTCCTGTGGCCATTTCACCCTTCGCTTCTCCATCCACACTCAGCTGTTTCTATGTGGGATTTTTTGTAGGAAAAGAAAATTATTCTCACATATTTTGCTCCAACTCCAGAAGCCTGCAAGCACCTCTGGAAATGTGGAATCGAGAACCAAGCCTTCTACAAGTGAGTGGACATATACAACAGGGACTATCTTTATCAGAGTCAAGCATAAAAGCTACTTTTTGAGTAATGGGCAGGAAAGTTTGAGGAACACTGAGAAAGAAGACATAAGATGACAAGGCTGAGCTTCCTTATAAAACTCAGACCCCTTTCTGGATGTCTGTCCTCCCTGGAGGGACAGAACTGAGGTCTAGGAATATGTTTCCAGCAGAGATGTCCAGGGGGTCTACCTGTGATGTCCTTGGACAGCTCCCAGTGGCAAAGCAGTTAGGGGTCTTTTCAGGGCAAGGCTTGGGCCTAAAAAAGCCCCTGGGTATCTGACTTGAATCAAGCTGGCCCTGTGGAGCCATTCAGAGCCACAGGAAGCCCAGAATAGGACAGACAGCTCCATGAAGGAGCAGAGGCAGGCCAGAAAGATCTCTAAGCCTTGGAGAGCCTTTGGGGCTTACTCCCAGTGGGTGGCCTGGTGCTGAGCTGGGGTTGATGCTAGCCCTTCCTGATGGGTCACTGCCAGAGGTATTGCCAGTAACAGACTCAAGTGCCCAGGAGCCTGAGCAGGGTAGCAGGAAGGGGAGCAAGGACTTGTCTGTTACTGAAAAGCCAGCTTTGGGCCAAAGGCAAGAATTTTGATTACCACAGGATTTGTAAAGTATATGAGGCTTCTGTGCTGTTTTGATTAAGAAAGTGGTTATAAAGGCATTAGGGTACAAAGAAATAGCCCATCGAGAAACTAGGATGACGCCAGATAAAGTATGTTTTACTAAAACCCTTGGTCTTGTTTTAAAAATAGAATGCAATGATTTATACTTTAATAAGCTGTATCTTAATCAGGACAACATAAGACAAAGTCTGTGGTATATTCTGCCTCTGACAAGCCATAGTTCTCCCTCCAGTAACCTCAAGGATCCTGAAGAGAGCAAAACTGCTCTGAGCTGGAGGGGTACCATTCTCCTTCTGCTGCCTGCTGGCTGCTATGGGATGCTGGCTGGCAGAATTGGTCCTCCCCCTTCTAGGGCCACAGCCCCAGAGGCTGTTTCTGGGAAAGGCTTTCTGAATTGCTTAATAATTTCTATGCATTTGATACCACAATCAGGGATGAGCTGAATGGGCAGCCTGAATTATAACCTGAGTGGGCTTCTTTCATCTCCTGAAGAAGACACTCAGAAAAGACTTTTGCATGGTCAAATTTCCCTTCTGTTCAGTCTCTAGCTGTCCAAGGAAAGCCAAGAAAACATATCCGCACCATTTCTGAAGACCTTTGTTTTTCTATTTGTGTCATGGGAACAGAACTGTGCTTCTGCATCTGTGACCAAACTCAGTGTCTGAGTCTTTCCATTAATAAAGCCCCCCTGCCCCGCAACTAGTCCTGCCAACACCCTCAGTGGAAACTGAGGCTGTTTTTCATTTTTCCACTGATTACTTAATGTTCTTTATTAAGTGTTAAAAGCCTCTAACTGAGTCATATCCCCAACTGTGCCAAGTCTTAGCAGCAGCCACTTTGGCATCACCCTGAGCACCTTTCACGTGCAGATCCCTGGCCCTGCCATTGGCCTCGTACTTTGAAGGGAGGCAGGTCAGACTCAAGGACATGCTTGGGCAAGAAGACAAAGAGAGTCAGAGCCTCACAGAACCCTGAAACAGGTGGGGATGGTATCTCCCTGGAACTGCTATTCATGGATTTGGGAGACAGCTCCCTAAATACTGACTGCCTGCTCACGACAGAGGCTTCAGACCCAGCACTCCAGGCACCTCAGGGCATGTTGTAAGCTGAGTCAGGTCTTGGGAGGCTTCACTCTGGACGGTTCTCCCCAGCTTCTTTTTCTAAGTGTGAGAGGGCCATTTGGGATCAGAGAAGTCACCTAAGAGGATATTTTACAGTGCCCATGGCCTTCCAGAGCCTCCACATCAGCTGTCTACAGCCTTGAAAGTGATGCTAATAGGCTTACTGGGAGAAAGGGAATGATTCCAAGTTCAAATAAATGATGGAACTTATATTAAAGTTAAGCTAGTTTGTTCATTTCAGGACTTCTCAGAGTCTTTAACAGAACATACTTTATGACTCTCCAAGACAGGGATGAAATAGGAAGGGCAGCCCGTACTCTCTTCTCCACCCACAATTACCCAGACATGGACATGTATCATCAAATACTAGGACTGGAAGGGACTCCTGAGATCAAGTAGCTCCATCATTTTATAGATAAGAAGACCAAAGCTAAGAAAGGAAAGAAATTTGCCCCAGGTCACACTGCTAACAAATGGCCTGAAATTTGATGAGTGGCATTCTATTATTCCCCCAGACCACCATCCGTAACATTTAGTCTCAGTCCCCCTGGTAAACCCCATGAAGCACTCTTGGGGAGCCCTCACTCTCCTGACATGAAAATGGGTTTCCACATGACTGTCCCCAGCACTGAGGCTGTGAGGAAGCTCTCAGGTCCTAAAGGACAGTCAGAGACAAGCCAGGCTGTGAAAGGCCTTTTCCTGAAGAGTTTCCTCAAGTAGCCTTATGGAAGGAGCTGGGAATGCGCTGCCTTAGCCCGTGAGGCAGTTGCAGGCCATCTGTCACACTGGACTTTGCCTTGCTGCAGGCTGGAGAAGTCAAGCCAAGTCCGCACAGTGTCCAGCAGCAATTTATTCTTTAAAGGGAGCCGGTTCCGATACAGGTAAATAGTGACAGTAAGTAACTGTTATGGACCTATTTTCAGACCCTTCTCTGGAGAACAGGGGCTCAGTGGTCCTTATCCTTGAGAACAAAGAAACTGGGAACCTCCAAAAAAGCCTGAGGTTTCCATCCAGTTCTCCTGTCTCCTGTCCTTTTGACTATTTCTTTCCTTCCCTGCCAGTTTGTCTGCAGGGTTTAAATATGTATCTTCTCCTTCTGCCCTCACAACAGCAGTGAAATAAGAACTGTAGCAGTGATTCTTTTCATGTCTGTCTAAAGATTTTTTTTTTTGCAATATTTCTGGAACATCCTGGACAATGAGAAATCATTTCTAAATGAAAATGGAAAATCCCAAAGACTCGAGATAGAGAGCTCTCTAAGATAAGCTGTCAGGACATCTTAAAACTTACCCAGCAAGCAAGCCTTTCTCAGTGACCTAAACATTGGGAAGGGCTAGGCCAAAGAGGCCACCTCCCAGTTCATCCAAAGTATCTGAAGCCTTAGACAGGAGCCCAGTGCTAGAACACCATCTCATCCCTTGCTGCTTGTTTTATTATACTATTTATAGTGGCCGAGTTGCAAAGGAAGTAATGGAGTCAAGTGCGAAGATCAAACGGGAGCCACCAGAAATACACAGGTAGGCTGCCACAGACTTCCCCCAAACCAGTTGAGCTCAGATCCCAGAACCTCCAAAAAGGCAGCAGTTTCAGTACTATGAAGATTCTGGACGCAGTGGCTCTCACAAAAGGGGAAGGAGAACATGGCAGGAAGGTGAAAAGATCCATCTCAGCTAAAGGCATGGAGAACAGTCTGACCCTGGTATCCCTGAGCCTTGAGGGAGCACGAGGGAGGGCGTAGTACCCAGTACCACATCCTGGGTACTTCTCTACTGTCCTCCCAAATCCTGAAAGTGGTCATAGGCCACGGAGGACATGTCCAAAGTGCAAGATTTCCTTAGTTCTGGAATCAATCCATTACAGAAAGCCAGGGATAGCCCCACAGCCCACTACACTAGGTCTAAAATAGTTTTGAGATCCTTGCTTCATGTATAACTGTACATCACGTATATCTCCTAAACCTAATAAGATCCAGAAAGAATATGATTGGCCAAGACAGCTAGGGTTCACCAACCAGCCTGATCTCTGGGAATGGGAGCATTATTACCACCTTCACATGGCACCCCCTGCCAACTGCAGTCTCTGTCAGAAGTCAGAGAGGCTGCCATATCAGTTTTCAGGCATATTTTCTATAGCACTGCTTATGCTGGGGCTCTGCATCCTGACAAACCTGCCCAGAGACCAGTGGTACCATTGCTGCACTAAAGCAAGGTTCAGGTGGGTCTAGGATATGAGGTGGTAGACGAGTCTAAAGCAATGTCTCTGACTGGAATCCAGGGACTAAAGGCAAAAAAACAGGTATTAAAGACTTTTTTAAAATAAATATTAAATAAATAAACAAACAAATAAATAAATAAAACTTAACACAGCCAGGCAGTTCTAGCAGCTACTTCTCAACCCTGAGTCCTGACCACATCTGTCTGTGCACTGATTTAACAAAGTTCTCTTTTTCTTTAACCTCAGAGCAGGGATGGTTCCCAGCCGCAGCTGTCCCTCCATAACCCATGGTCCAAGGCTGAGCAGTGTCCCCAGGACCCGCAGAAGAGCTGTTCACATCTCCATCATGGAAGGTGAGCATAAGCTCTGGAGAGGACCATGGGGTTCCTCTAAGTTTTGACTTGGACCACTTCCTCTCAGGGACCTTGAACAGAAGTTGCACTAGAGACAGGAGCACATTTCTCCAATAGAAGAGAGAAGGTTTCATGCGGTAGTTGGGAACACCAGCTGGATGTCAGGTGAAGGATAAGCCCACCCAACCCTGCTGAGCTGTAGTCTAAGATGGGGTTTAAATCTGAGAGTGTGGGGGAAAACCTTTGGGAGACTGTGTTATTGCATCTAACAGGTTCCATGCAGTTCTGAAATTGCTTTCCATCAAGAGGCTTTTCACTTATTTTTCAGATCAGACTAGTCTCCACAGTGTAAATGATCAGGGTGGCTGAGGCAGTTAACCAAGAAATGAAAACTCTTAGTTCTGAAGCATCCTAATAGCCACTACCACTTTCTATTTCAGCGGGAGAGATCTGTCCTCTTGCTATCTGAATTCTTTAACACGATCTCGGGAATCTCATATGCCCCACCTCTCTCTATCCTACCCTCCCTTTGGAGGAGGTGGGTCCTGGGGGGGGGAGGGGAGAGACAAAGTCTGTGAATCTTCACTGAACTAGATACTGCAGTAGCTGAGCCTGATACCTCTCCACTCTCTGGGTAGTTAATATCATTAGGAGACTCCTGGAATAGTTCCCTCATGGTCACTGACTCAGCTGCCCCACAGGCTAGGTACAGGTATAAAGTTGAATGCTTTCATTCCCAAAGATGTTTTTGTAGGACCTCAGAAGATCTAAAGCTGCAACAAACAGCAGCGGGTTTGCTTCAAACCTGTCCTGGAAAGGGAAGACTCTTTGCTCTTTCTGTGGCAATGCTGATTAATGAAAATAAAGAACTACTTAGGTTAGGCAGGACAGCACTCTGCGGCTCCCCTGTGAGGATCATGGGTTTGTGTTTAGGATTTTATGTGTCACTGACTTTGCATTATCTAAGTCTGGTATATAACTACAGTCTAGGGATTGAGAACCCTGGCCGGGTAACCACATCAAGTGCCTTAATTATTTGAGTATCTTAGTTGTTCTATTTGTAAAATATAGGGGTATCTTCCTTGTGTACCCCATGGGCTGTGAGGAACCTCATGTACATAGAAGTACTTTAAAGAGATTAAAGCATTTATTGGACAGGCAGCAAGCACAGTGCAAAGAGGCCTGCTCAGGAAGTCCAAGATGAGATTCAGATCAGAGCTCTGCCATGTACTTTCTCTAGGGCAGGTTGCTTCGCCTCTCTGAGCCTGGGGCCCCCACCGTAGAGTGGGTATGGGTGTGGGAGGGTGCCTTCTGAACTACATAGTATAATCGCTCTGCAAAGTATGAAGTTACTGAGGTCTGTCATCAGACACAGGCTCCTGGTTTTCCCTCCAGTCTTAGGCTGAGCCGGAGAACTGAGCATAGCTCTCACTGTCCCTCTTCTTTTGGGGCGTTCATCTCAGGAAAACAGAATGAATTTCTTCTCTTTTGAGGAAACAACTTTCTCCTCTCCCCGTGGCCCTTCTTCCTATCCATCCTGAGGTCGGAAGCCACCAAGTTCACCTCAAAGCTCCTGTAAAAAGTCAGGACAGCTGTCCTCCCAGAGAAAAGGCCATCCTCTGGAGCTGAGCACTAATACAGGTCTAGGGAAGAGCCTCATGCATTTGTTCTCCAGCATATGGAAGAATGTCCAGTAAAACCCATGTTCCTAGAAAAGGGAAGACAGGCTGTCCATGTGGGGGTATAACTCACTTATAGTAGTTGCCAAGCAGGGTTAGCAGAACTACTGAGAAGTGGGAGACCGGTCCTGAGCTCTCCCAAGACAAGCTATGAGGCTGTCCCAGTTCCCAGCTAGCTCTGGCTGTGCCCCCAGCATCCTCCCAGAAGCTGTCTTCTCCCATTGTAGCAGCAGTAGGCTCCTCAGCATCCAAAATAGTCCTCTTTGCTTGTAAAAAGCCAAGGGACGGTGCAGCAGGGGAAGGCCACCAAGGAAGCTAGTAAAGAAGAGACTTCTAGGGCCAGGGCACACCCTCACCATCTCAGCCCCCATGGAAGTTCACGCCTGGCAGACTATATAGCACAGCAGGCTCCCATGTGCTACTCAGCAAGCCAACCTGCTGCTCACACCCCATGCCTGATTGAGGCTGACTACACACAAGAACAGCCTTCATCCCCAGTCATGGCCCTCAGCCCAGGACCCATTAGATTCAGGAGGGCAAAAGTAGAAGCAGCTAAGAACTGCCCCAGCAGGAATGACACCAACAGGCTCACAGTGAGGAGAGGCAGATGGACATCTGGTTTGGATGTGGGGAGGAAAAAAAAAAAAAAAAGATTTTAGCATTTAAGTGGCTCTATCAGTGCAGGGATTATCAAGACTGGGGAGATAAAGAATGGATTATTTCCCAGAGAGTTGAGCTACACCATCTCTCAAGAGGGGTTTCACCTTTAAAGCGCCCAGCAAACACAGCTGACCCTCACTGTACACCTAAACAGGGAAGGGCTGAGAGAAATGATGAGGGGTCTCAGAAGAAGGGCACTAACCACCAAAACTCCCAGGAAATTATGGACATTTGAAAGCGGTTCATGCTCCATCAGAGACTCTTTCCTATTGTCCATATGGCACATAAATTAATGTCACAGAAACTATTTGCCTTTTCCAGGGGGAAAGCTTTGATTGCTATCTCTAAAAACAATGGGAAAATTGCAAAAACAGTAACATAAGACTACAATTTGAATGAGACCATGTAATTCCAATGAGCTGGGACCGTTAAAAAGATGATGGTACACTGGTTGGCCCTCCCCTCTCCTCTCAGGGATGCCAAGATACCACATGTTGTTAGCACAGGCTTAACCAGAGAGGATGCTCAGGTATGTTGATTCCTTTTATCCATTGCACCCTGTGGGGCACAGCTCAGCAGCAGGGAGCCAAATAGCATACAGCCCAGTGGATGGGACACAGCCCATTTCCACCCCCGACCTGCCACCTCACACGTCAGAGCCACCCAACCCAAAGCCCAATGTCTTTGTAGCTTCACCTCCTGCATTTTCTGGAACTATGGGATGCTCCCTACCCTGTGGGATTATTCTCTGCCCTCTAGGTACTTCACTCTCTGAGAAGTCTGGGGCCCTTATACGGGGCTCCGGGAAACAGTCACATGCTAGGGAAGCATTACTTTTTATGGCTCTAAGTGCTTCTGACTGAATCCAGTCCCTGATAACGTAGGCCTCTTAGAGCTGTTCCTTCCCTGAAGCTCAGCCTGTTCTGTCTCGCAGAGCTGACATTCTCTCTCCAGCACAGGAGGCACTGTGAACGAGCTGCCATGGCTTGAGGTCAGCAAAACTCCTTGGTCCCCAGTTGGTTTTCCATCCTTTCCCTCTGTACCCCCCCCCTGCCTGGCTGGTTTCCATGAAGAGATCAGCTGGTTTCCACTGAAGAAGTGTCTGCCTGCCTGGGCCACCATGGGGAAGAGTCTGATTAAGATTCACACCAGAGTCCGAGTTCAGCTGCGGTTGACTAATCATTGCCTTCGGCCAGTGAGTGTGCGCATCGTGAGGATGGGGCCCCGGCTCCAGGGTAGGCTCCTGACCATTCTGCCCCCCCGCCCACAAGAAGCCACCTCTGGGCAAGGCAATCAGCTGGAGTACATCCAAGGTAAAAAAGACTCCTCTGTTTTGCTGTGCCATTTGCCAGCTCCCACCCATGGTACCCACCCTGTCCATCCCAGAATAACGGGCTTGATGAAGGGGTGGTGGTTTCTAGTGAACCTGAAGTTCTATACAAGACTAGCCTGACATAGCAATAATAACCTTACAGGTGAGGTCTGTTGAGGGAACAGAAGACTAACACTGAGCAATTTTGTCTGTCAAGCAATCTACTAAAAATGCATACATATCCATTATTTTATTTACTGAGAGCACCAACAACTTATAATGTGGTTTCTGGTGTCTGTCTGATTTGTTCTCTCTGATGTAACAGCCTTTGCCTCTCTCCTTCCCCAGCAAGCTTAGGGCTGAATTGTAGGCCAAGCTAAGTTTGCACTGAAGTGGCTTCTGGTAGCTAAACTGGTCGTGCTTTGGAAGATCTGGTAGAGTTGTCTCTGAGGAGACAGCCTTGAGAAAGGGTATGAGGAGCCCTGTACAGGGGGTGCTGAGGTTCCAGAGGAACGGGGGTGGAGGAGTGGGTGGGAAAGGAGCTGAACCAACACATGTGTGATCAGGGCCTAAAGGCCTCTGTTCTATCAGGGACTCATTACATACTACCAGGTATATATTCCTCATGCTGCTTATGCAAATGCAGGAATAAGGGAGAAAAACGGGGGCGGGGGAAGAGATCAAAGGAGCATCAAGAGCTCTGGAACAAGGGGCAAGCTCTTAATTTCACATTATTTCACAACAGTTTCTTGGGCAATTGGGACCTAAATCTAAGGCAGGTGTAGGCTGTAGCCTTAATTCATCCTGGCCCAAAATCTAACTACATGATCATTAGCATCAGGAAACAGGCTTGCAGTCTATCCTTGCCTTTCCCATTACCAGCCAACCACATGTCCTTAGGCAAGCTCTGTAACCTCTTGCCTTCACAACTTCGTGGAAAGATGAAAGCACTTTAAAAACTTTAAAACAGACAAACTTAAGATTTTAGCACAGGGGAAAACAAAATACAACTAGGACCATGAGGAGCTCCTGAAAGCAGAATCTGAGAGCTGTAGCAAATACACTGATGAGGAGGTGATGGGGAGTATAGGTGGACAGCAGGGGGCTGCTGTTGCCACCCCCACCCACCCGTTTATAACCCAGGGTTTGTTCCCCTGGAGAACCCTTAACTGTACCTATGCTGAAATAGGCTCCAGCAGGCTAGGCAGGCAGGCTGCCTGGGTACATATGGCTACACAAGAGAACCAAATGAAACTCACTACTTCTGAAAGGTTACTGCCACCTTTTAAGAGAGACCCTTGGGCTTCTGAAGGTAGCCCTGAACTGAAAAACTCCCTAATTAGCCCTAGTTAGGTCAAACCTTTACAGAGCTGGGAACTGGTTCAGTCTTGCAGAAGTCAGGGTCAATTTCAGAGCAATGGAAGGGGGACTGGCTTCTCTTGCCATTGGCCACAAATGCAGGGAGAGCCAGAGCCACTCTGGCACCCCCAAGGTAGCCAGGAAGGGGGGGGCGCCTGGGTGGCTTAGTCGGTTAAGCGGCTGCCTTCGGCTCAGGTCATGATCCCAGGGTCCTGGGATTGAGCCCCGCAGGGAGCCTGCTTCTCCCTCTCCCTCTGCCTGCCTCTCTGCCTACTTGTTCTATCTCTGTCAAGTAAATAAATAAGATCTTAAAAAAAAAAAAAAAGGTAGCCAGGAATGGAAAATGCAGACATTGAACCTGAAACAAGAAGCCATTTCCTTGGGAGCACTGTGATGTGGGCCATACTCGGTGACTCTGGGCCCACATCCTCCAGCCTAGCAGCTGCTGTTTACTTCACAAAGTAACCAGCTTCTGTTTTTCACTACCAGAGACTGAGGCTTGGAAAGAGAGAAATGTTCCATCTGAGAAAGTAAAGAGATAATGGGTAGTTTTAGGGGGCAGAGGACCCTTCCTCCCAATGAATGTAAGATAATTTCCACCCTGACCCAACAAGATCTTCTCAGAGACCACTCTGCACTCGAAGTGTGTAAAGACAGGGTAATTGTCAGCCTACTATGGACCCAGCTCATTCTAAGGTGAAAGAAAGAGAGCTAGCCAGGGGCTATTCCCTTCTCCATCAGAGACCACTTAAGGAAGAGCAGATAGGGTTTTCACATCCCCTAAAATCAGGACAGCTAGAAGTGGGAGGCTGAAGAGACCAGCAGCAGCAATCCAAAAGATGACCTCATGAGCTCAAGGAGCTGCCTGCTGGGTTGTTAGAAGGACATGCAGCTCCAGAATCAGTATTTGATGAGGCCCAGTAAAGCAAAACAGTCTTCTCCCCATTCCTGCCTCTCAAGGCACTCAGCCCAAGAGGGAGACTTGATATCCCTGAACTGTGGGCCCAGCTCTGAATCAGGGATAGTCCGTGATTCAAGACTGTCTTTCAACTGGGGCTAAAACCAGGCCCAGGACATCAAAAGCCAGAAAGGCAGAATCTTTAACAAATCTTGCCAAAACCCTAAATAAAAAGAAAAAAAAAAAAACAAAAAAACAAAAACCTTCCAACCACAGCCACTCTGATGTCTGCTGCTGCTTTTATCCTATTCCTGATACATTAAAACAGTGTAGTGCCACTGCTGCTGACCACATGGGCTGTGCCACTGCTGCTGACCACATGGGCTGCACTAAAATTTCCTTGCAAAATTTTAGTTAACAACCTAAAACAGAATGGGTGTGCCTCCACCAGACAGCAAAGTGTGCACTGGGACCCAGAAAGCCTACTCATATTCCTTTTGCCTTTCCAGGCCTGGAGTCCCTACGGGACAGTGCCCATTCCACCCCAGTGCGTTCTTCCTCCCATGGGGACACCTTCCTGCCTCACGTGAGAAGCACCCGGGCAGACAGCAACGAGCGAGTCGCTGTGATTGCAGACGAAGCCTACAGCCCTGCAGACAGTGTGTTGCCCACCCCTGTGGCCGAGCACAGCCTGGAGCTGATGCTACTTTCCCGGCAGATCAATGGGGCCACCTGCAGCATCGAAGAGGAGAAGGAGTCTGAGGCCAGCACTCCAACTGCTGCAGAGGTGGAGGCTCTTGGGGGAGAGCTGAGGGCCCTGTGTCAGGGGCACGGCAGGCCAGAGGAGGAACAGGTGAATAAGTTTGTTTTAAGTGTCCTCCGTTTGCTCCTTGTGACCATGGGACTCCTCTTTGTTTTGCTCCTCCTCCTGATCATCCTTACCGAGTCTGACCTTGACATTGCCTTTTTCCGCGATATCCGCCAGACCCCCGAGTTTGAACAATTCCACTATCAATACTTTTGTCCCCTCAGGCGATGGTTTGCCTGCAAAATCCGCTCAGTGGTGAGCCTGCTCATTGACACCTGAGAAGGCATGACTCCTCCCGATAACTAGCCAGGTGGACCAAGGAGCCTGGCTGCCCATTCCCAGCAATGGGACCCATCGCGGAACCATCGGCACATGTACCAAGTCCTCCTCTCATGACTCAAAGTCCACAGCCTAGGAGGGTCATTTCCCAGAAGGAAAAAAGAACAGGCTCATGCCCTGTCTAAACAAACTGGGAGAACTCATTTCCTTCAGAGGTTCTTTCAAGAAAGGCTCAGCGACTCTGTTTCTCATCCTTCCAATTTGCAGGATAATTTTTGGTTTTGAATTTTGATTTTTCATAGATGTGTAGTATTTTCAAAGTATCAAATAAAAATTTATTTTACTATTACTGATTATCGCAGTAGTGTCACCTAGCAGATGGGACACTAGCTGAAGACTGGAGAGCTGTTGTCTTCTGTATTCTGCAGGAGCTTTCCTACTGGGCTCCAGGAGACTCAGCAGCGCAGCCTCAGCAGGGCGAGCCAGGGGTCTGGACAATGGGAACTATCTAGGTTTTCTTGCCAGACAAGAGATTTTTAAAAAGTAAACATCCATGTAGAATGATTAAATGGAAAGTTGCTTCTTATGATGGTCTGAGTTGGATTTTCTTTTCCTTTTGTTTTTTTCAAATCTGAGCAGAGTGGGCATCTGAAGGGACCACCGCTACAGCAGCAGCAGGAGCAGGGGTGGGGTAAGTCTGTCCCCTTAGACTAGATCCTAGTGGGCATCACCATGAGTTTTGTATAATGAACTTATTAGACTTCTGTGATTTTTTTTTTTCCTGAAGAACCTCCAGATTTTTATAGTGCTTCAGAGACATTAGTTGAATTCAGTGGTGCCAGAGACAGGACTGTCAGAAATGTTGGACAAAGTGTAGTTAACAGAAGCCAGAGCCAAGGTACCTGAGAAACTGTTGAGATTCGGAGAGCAGTACCTATTTTGTACAACCCCCCACAAAAAAACTATTTCAATTTATATTTTAACAACAAATGTTATTTTCTTATCAATTCATATTTTGTTTTTACTTTATGGATTAAGAAAATAGAGCCTGATGAACTAAACGATGCAAGAAAGAAAGTGATCCTGAGAATGAAAAGCTTCAGAAAATAGAATTCCAAGATCAACAAACAGCCTTGGAAGGGACCAGGAAAAGAATCTAAATAGGCATACTAAAAGATGCCTACGAAAGAAAGAAGGTGAATGTGGCAGAGACCAACACTTAGATGTGGAAATACTGCCCCCTAGGGTCATCCTCTGCATCAGGAAAAGAAAAATTGTAGGAAAGCATTTGCCATGCTTGCTGAGGGAAGCTGTGGAAGCATGCAAAAGCACAGCATGTGAAGGGTGAGTGTGGGGTCCAAGGCCCAAGCTCTGCAACTCTTAACCACCACTCATAAGATCTTGTTTTCATCTCAGGGAGAGATTGCTAAGTCATCTGGGGCCTGAGGACTCATTTGAGGATGGTCAGTAAACATATTCCTGGGAACCCCACAACAGTGGAGCCACTAACATCCTATGATGTTGGGCGGCCCCAAATGCAGAACAAAATGAATCACTTGTAGATTTGCTCTCCCCTAGTTTGTCCCCTGAAATAGCAGAATCATGTCCATATACAGAGTATAACAGCTGTTGAATTAACAAGGGGTGTGGGGTGGGGGAGTGGATTGTGTAATTTTAAATGCCCTTTCATCTAGACCAGGGGTTGGCAAACTTCTTCTGTAAAGTGCCAGATAAAAATATTTATTTTGGTTTTGTGGGCCATACTCCATGGCAACTACTCAACTCTGCAGTGATAGCACAAAAACAGCCATCCATAGGTAATACATAAACAAAGGAGCATGGCTGTGTTCCAATAAAAGTTTATTTTAGGAGCTGAATTTGGACCACAGGCCATAATTTGCCAACCCCATCTAGACAATAAAACTGCTCCTTACCAGTAGTATGTTAGCAGAAAGAGGGCTGGCTCTGCTCCCATTCCCTACTTGCTACAGATCCAGGACCATTTCCCAGTGGAGACACTGGGGTTGCTTGTATAAAGGGTGCTTGAACAACCAACCAGCAAAGAGGTAGCTAATGCCAAGATGAGCAAGATTAAGTGTTGAAATGCTAAAACTCAGCCAGAATCTAAGAATGGAAGAGGAATGTCTGATCATTTCCATACCAGCAACAATTTGGGCAGAATTAAAATCATCTATTTACCAAGTGACAAGACAAACTGAGGGAGATCCTAGTAAAAATTAGGGATCACTTAGAACCAACTAGCCACTGCCACTTGTCATCTGCACAGGAAAGGCTTTACTTACCACAGGACAGAAGTGAAAAGTAGACTCAAAGATGAAAAGGCTGTCAGGAGATAGGGGGCTGGTTGTAACCTGGATATCTACTGTCTTATGCAACATAGCAGATTATCTTTTAGTGTAGTGTTCCTACCTCAGTCTGTAGAATATGGTGTTTCTATGCAGTGAGTGATAGCCTTGACACTGACCTTTCATAGTCACATTAAAGAAAGATGCAGTATTCCATTTCCTGGTATGTTACTTGTGTCTAGAGTTCTAACAATACAATAGTCCATACCACTTCCAAGAGCTGGATTTTGCTCTCTGAACAGAACTTTTGGGTTATTCTTTTCCAGGGCTTACCCCAGAAAATACAGATAGTAAAGTTTCCTTCTATTTGCTTTTCAAATAGTGCTTGAATAACAAAACTCCTTTGTTGGTGACTAGTCTTTTTTTGGTATCTCCCCATCATTAAACATCATTGTTCAAATTTTTAACCTGGTTTTACTGTGTTCCACTATGTCTCCCATTTTCTCTCAGAATTAGTTTGATCTCATTGTAGAAAAAAAAAATAATGGTTTCCATAGCTTCATCCATCAGAGGAAATAAAACTCTTACTAAAAGATAGTGTACTGCATCTTTAAGCAGTAGAAGGTAAACTACCTGCAAATGTGAATTTCTTAGTTTCATTAAAAAGTATAATTGTTAACCTTTCGTGTGCCAAAAATTCTAAGTTACATTTTCCTTCAAAGCAATGTACTTTTTTCTACATATGCAGTATGTAGTTAGCATAAAATCATTGGTGCCATGAAAATTATTTTTTAAATTAAATAAATATTTAAATATCATGGAAGAGTGGACTCTTTCTTTTTTAACTGACAGCTTGTCTCACTTTTTCCTCCTTAAAGTTACCAACACGTAGATAAAAAGATAGATACCCAGGGGGATTTATACAACTGACTACTTGTTCATGAATGATCATTTGGCTTATATCCATCTATTATCCTTGTCCCTCCCCCCAAATAAATACTATTAAGAACTTGGAAGCTGTAATAATGGAATGATTTTAGAGATGAACTGGACCTCATTTTTCTCATGAGGAAAACCAAAAAGTGATTTTCTGAAGGTTACAGAGTTAGTCTTAGAACCCAAAAGTAGAACCTAGATGGTCCAGGGTTCCTGGCTGGCTCGGTAGGTAAAGCATAAGACTACTGATCTCAGGGTTGTGAGTCTGAGCCCTACCTTGCGTAAAGAGATTAGGCACATGAGTCTGTCCTCCCCCCTTCCCATGTATGGTAACTGGCTGAAAAGATTTACATCTTTGGGGGCGCCTGGGTGGCTCAGTCGTTAAGCGTCTGCCTTTGGCTAAGGTCATGATCCCAGGGTCTTGGGATCGAGCCCCGCATCAGGCTCCCTCCTCGGCGGGAAGCCTGCTTCTCCCTCTCCCACTCCCCCTGCTTGTGTTCCCTCTCTCGCTGTGTCTCTGTCAAATAAAATCTTAAAAAAAAAAAAAAAGATTTAAATATTTGTATTCACAGCCCTCAAGCTCCCTGTTTTCCTGGAGAACTGCCTTTGCAAAGTCATCTCTGTGGAAAGGAAACTCAAAGACCTGAATACCAAAACAGGACTGAATCAACTCAGATTTTATCAATTCTCGATCATTTGTAGTCTCACCTACCTGTCCACCTATGACAAGAATCATCTCCTTCCTCCTCAAAGTCACATAAGAAAGGCTGAGCATCTCAAAGAAAATGATTCAAGTGGAATACAGAGCTTACATACTTAAGGGATATCACAAAGCACAACCTAAAAAAAAAGTTTATCCCAAAAAGAGAGAGCAATTGTAATATACAAATAATTACAGAAGACACACAGTTTTAAGCAAGTCTCTGGGAGAAGTACCTTTCACAACAGATTACAGTTTAAGGATGTCCTAAGGGAGACAACTTTATGTGCTTTCTAGATTTAAACAATTACTCCATTATAGAGCTTTTCACTGAGAAACAAGTCCCCCCCACACTCTCCTTCCTTCCTGCATTGCCTCAGGAAGACACTTTATTAAGTTTAATTAAATATAAATAGCACAGTTTATGAAGCTAAAATGGCAAAAGAAACCACAAAAGTGAGAAACATCAAGAATTTGCTAACATTTATTGCAGAAACCAGGCAATTATGACCAAGTATTCAAAGCTTAAAGGATGGTGCTAATTTCAATGAGTGTATTTTTCAATATTGTTAAAAAAGTTCTCACAGAAGTTGCCACCCTGGAACCTGTGAGATGAAGTGGTATCAAAAAGGGAAAGGAAGCCTTAGAGGCTTCATTTACTATCTCCAAGGCAGTTTAATAGAAGTCAACCTCACTTAGCTTTACTTTCCATTTCATAAATTAATGTTCCATTTCACTTACCAATTCCTATACGCCTATCATCAAGAAAATAGAGAACTCTTGTTACTTATAAACACTCACAACCTACTTAATAAACTAGGCCTCAAAATTAGACTTAACCTCTCATTACAGAGAAGGAACTATACATGTCATTTTATTTGTGATATATAATTTGAGAAGATATTTCCTCTTAGAATTCAAACATATTGCCAAAAACAATTTACAACAACAGTCTTTCAGTAGTAGTTTGGCAATGAAGAGCAATGAAAAAAGTCGGATAGGTGCTATCACACGGTAATGTTAGTCACTGAGTTAAGTAGCTACCTTCCAACAACAAA